GCGACCCGCAGCAGGAATGTAAGAATCCCAACGGCCCAGTGAGTCCATCGTGGTTGTTTTTATTAACAACTTTAATGGAAACTAAGCAGCAACTGCTCACTGAAATTTAGCAGAACTCTGTTGTGAGTTGATTTGTGACGTTTGGGTTAAACTTTAAAGTCCCCTCAGTAAAACTTTATTAGAGGACTTTGGATCAGGATAAACCGGTGCTAAAACGGGTCCAAAGTCTGTGTGTGAGCCAGGTTTATTGGACCTTCTGAGGGGAGTGGACGACTTGTTTCCAGCTGAAGTTTAGTTTTGCTTTTCCAGAACTAAAACCGGCAGACTGAGACTGAAAAGCCTCTAAGTATTTACCGCTGGATGGTAAATGTTCTGGAACCATAAAGAATCATTTCCTGACATTCCTGCAAACACCCACTAATCTGTATTTTATTTATATGGAATAGTTTTTCCTCCTTAAACCTGGTGAAACAGGTTCCTGTGGGATGCTTTCCAGTTAGCATGTGTGCTTCCTGTCACATGATCTGATGCTTGTCTTTGTGCTTCTGTTGGTTTTCTTTTATCATTCTGAGCTGGTTTTGTTTACTAAGGGTCTCATCTCTTTTTAATCTGATTAGGATTAGATTGATTAGAATGTGAATCTTGTTCTCTGGGCATGGTTGTGTTCTTCAGACTTGTGGAGTCTGAATCTCTGCTGAACAGAGACCAGCTCCGTTCTTCTGCGATCTTGTTCTTGCGTTATCTGAGGATCTGATTGGATGATCCGGTGGGTTCTGGGGAAGTTCTGGCTCCGGGTCAACAGGACATATGGCTCCAGTCGGTTAAGCAGGCCGATGATCAGTCAGTCAGTGTGTGACTCTGATGGGAAAGGCTGCGTCTCACTGTGAGTCCATTATTTCAGACTCCGGTTCTGTTTCAGCAGCAGAACTCCCGTCTGATTGGACGACTGCATCAGCATTGTGTCCTGTGATTGGCTGCCGGCCTCCTGCTGTCTGACAGAGATGTGAAGAGTTATTTTTTATTTTGTAAGAAAGATTAGAGACCCCATGATGTGGTTCCGATTCTGGTTCCTCTGAGCCTGAACCACATGATGTTTTTTTTTAAGAGTTCCTGATCTCCAGCTGCCTCCAGCTTCGTCTGTGGGAGATCAGGAATGCTGGAATCCTGGAACAGTGGAGCTGCTTGTGTATTTTGATAATGTTACATGATCATGTTTGGTTAGAGTTATGTGATCGGGCATGAGTGGCCCAGAAACGGGTCGGACTCCAGCACATGGGAGGAAGAACAGAGCTCCGTGTGTGTAGTGGAAACAGATGTTGCTGTGTAACACTTGAAGCCCCCCCCCCCCCCCCACACACTCCTCTGTCGGCCGTCTGCGACTGGACTCTGAGCTGGACTTCTGCTGCTGTTACACCTGGGGTTGATTTACATACAGAAAATAACAAATCTGCATCACGAGTGACTTTATCGCTGGGATAAAAGCATCCATGTTGAACGGAGAACACTAGGAGAAGGGCTTTAGGGTTGTCCAGTAATCGGAAGGTTGTAGGTTTGATCCCGGCTACCGCCAGATCGGCAAATGGGCGATACACTAAACCCACCTAACCTGCTGGTGGCGCCAGAGCTCGGCAGTCTGACTTCCATCAGGGCAGCTGTGGCTACCCTGTAGCTCGTCATCACCAACAACGTGATGCTATTAGAACAAAGCCACCAGCACAAAGTTAGCTAGCTAGTGACTAACTAGCCCTGACTGACCCTAACCCTCACCACCTTTAGCACGGTGGTCGCTGCAGACACGAGCGTTTGCAGGCTCTGCTCCTTCCAACCACAGGTTTCAAACCCTTTTTTCCTACGTTGTTCTGCAACCTTTTTCCGTTTCTCACCACTAATGGTGTTGCAGGTCACACCCACTATGTGTGTTGACACACTCTGACGTTCTGCCGTGGGGGAAAACTCATAAAATAAAAGCTGACTTTGGTAAAAAAAAAAAAAAAAAAAAAGATGTTATGTAAAAAAAACTGAAAGCAATAAATAAAAATGCCTCAATAATGATTATAATTATTATGCAAAAATGACTTTTTAAATAAAACTTTATATTAATAAGCACATTTTAAAAGAAGAATGATACATATTTCATAGCATTGAGGTTAGATTGAACATATTCAGTTTTTTCATTATTTCATTGACAGATTACATGATAGCCTAATTATTTATGTGGATATTTATTTCATAATGGTTTATTTGATTATTGAACACTTTGGCATTCTGAAGAAACAAGAAATGAGTAACTGAAAATGTCTGAAGTTTGTTGTTTAGGTGTTGTTTTTTGAACGTCTTCTTGTTTCTTTGTGAATTTCCTTTCGTCAGCCGCTCTGATTTTCCTCATCCACCCTTAAATGAGCCTGTTTCCTCTCCTTGTTCCTAATCTTTCCATTCTTCTCTTCTTTATTGTTCTTTGGTCCTCCCGGTCTTATTCTGAGACCAAGTCCTTGAACCTACCCTGATAATCAGACACGTTCAGAACCTGGGAGCAGATTTTGTTTGAGGTGAAACTTTGTAACCTCCAGCATGAATTCCTGTTGTATCACCAGCTCCACTTCCTGTGATTCTGTGCGATTTATGACAACCATTCACTCACACGGTGAACGTCATACACATTTGTGTGTGTGCATGTGTGTTGGGTGTGTGTTTGTGAGACTGTGCACAAAGACAATTGTTTCCTTTTTTATTTGCGAGATAAACAGAACTACACCTTGGTCTACTCCTCAGGCTCAGGTTAAGGTTGACCTCCTATTATAAAAGTGTGTGTGTCTTTCTTCTGTGCATGCATGTGTGTATGTGTGTGTGTGTGTGTGTGTGTATGTGCATATGTTTGTTTGACTTACATACAGGCGCCTAATCCATTCATCATCGTCCTCTCGATGTTTCTCTTGGACTCAGCAGAACCCTGATAGCCAGAGAGGGAAATTGGACCCTTTAGTCCTGAGGTGTGTGTGTGTGGGTGTGCGTGTGGGTGTGCGTGTGTATGTGTGTGTGCGAGTGCGGGTGTGTGTGTGTGTGTGGGGGGCGTATGTGTGTGTGTGTGTGTGTGTGCGTGCGTGTGTGCGTGCGTGTGTGTGTGGGGGGGCGTTTGCATGCGTGCGTATGTGTGTGCGTGCGGGTGTGTTTGCATGCGTATGTGTGGGTGTGTGTGCATGTGTGGGGGGGGCGTGTGTGTGTGTGTGTGTGTGTGTGTGTGTGCATGTGTGGGGGGGGGGCGTGTGTGTGTGTGTGTGTGCATGCGGGTGTGTGTGCATGTGTGTGGGGGGGGCATGTGCGTGTGTGTGTGTGTGTGTGTGTGCATGCGGGTGTGTGTGCATGTGTGTGGGGGGGGGGCATGTGCGTGTGTGTGTGTGTGTGTGTGTGTGTGGGTGGGTGGGGTGGGGGTGGGGGGGGTTAGAAATGTTTGAAAGAGCTCCGTGTGGCCTAATGAATCTCTGACTGGATCTGAAGGAACCTGAGAAACCTGATGGGTCAGTCTGAGTGTGTCATGCAGGCTGAACATGAGAATAGTCTCCTACACCTACCTGCATAGCTTCTGATAGAAATTCCAAAATGGTTCTAATGACAGCCCCTGGGCGTCTTTGCTTTTGCTTCTTATTCAAGCAGCTAAGTCAGTTCAGACTGGAACATGGGGGGGGGGGGGGGGGGGGGGGGGGTAGTGTTCTTTTGTTGCTTAATGAGCAGAAACTGCCTATGAAGACCCCTCCTCCCCACCTCTGCGGAGTCGTTGAAAACACAGAAGTCCTCCAGCTTCACTGGCTGCTGGTCAACTTCAGGGTTCATTCCAAGGTCTTGGTTCTGGTCTTTAGGGCCTTCCATGGACACGCACCATCATACGTTGGTGATCTTCTGTTGGTTCTTTATCACTAGCTTGTCTTCATGCAGCTGCTTCCACCTATTTTTCCCAGGATCTCGTATTACCTTTTCTTATGTTTCTTTCTTCCTTCTCATTTTAAAATTGTATGTGTTCACGTTTTTTACTACGATGTTTTTTTCTCTTTGTGAAGTGTGTGTGATTTTGATCTGGAGAGGCACTAAATACAAGATCGTTCTTATCTGTGGAGATAAAACATCAACGTTGCAGAAGAAACAGTCAGTGGTAGAGTCGTGTGGCTCTTAGCCAATCAGAGGAGAGATGTCCAAAAATCAGGAAACGAGACTCCTCCACATCCTGTCTCCTCCGGCTGACTCCTGCGTCTGGTGCACCAGTGTATACTTTCCCCAGAGTACAAGTTACAAATAATTCATTCCTACTAGAATGACTACAGATGAACTAAAAACACAAGGAAACTTGACCTTTAAATAAAACAAGCTGTTGCTGGCCACGCCCACCTATCCCCTGATTGGCTGCTATGAGCTGAGGAACTGAATCAGCTGAGATTCACAGGTTAAAGACAATGGGAGCCTGTTAGTAACCTTTGACCTTTGTGATTCTGTGAAACTTAAAGGTGTCGTTCATTTTGGGAAACATCCTGAGCTTCTGCATGAATCTGTTCGACAAAACGGATTCAGAGTCACAGATTTATGTTAGAAACCTGTTCTCTAAGGTACTCTCAGGACAAATTCACCCTGAGGTTATTTTTCCTTTTGTTTGGGAATCAGAGGAAGTGTTTTACTGATACTCCTGCAGGATCAGATTAAGGTCCGATTGTTTAGTTCTGGTTCTGGGAACGTGGTTCTGTTTGATCTGAAATGATAAACAGCAGGCTTGTGTGGAACAAGCAGCAGGTGGAAACTGTCAGGCTGCACCTCAGCTGCTGGATGGGAATATTTCCTGCAGGGATTTGGATTTAGTCTGCTCCGTCCGACGCAGGAAGCTTCTCCCAAACACAAAAGGGTCGATGGATGATGGGATGGACGTAACCAAACCACCCTGCAGAACCATGCAGGATCAAACTTTGTTTCTCTCATGGTTCCTCTGACCTTCATCTCCTTGTTTCTGTCCGGTTCTGTTCTAGATGAGCGCGAGGCCGTCCAGAAGAAGACCTTCACTAAGTGGGTCAACTCCCACCTGTCCCGGGTTTCCTGCAGAATCACAGACCTGTACATGGACCTGAGGGATGGACGCATGCTCATCAAGCTGCTGGAAGTTCTGTCTGGAGAGAGACTGGTGGGTCGGGTCACTGGCAGGGCTTTTATTCTGAAAATCGAGCATCACTTTAACAACTAAAACATAAAAAATGCACTTCAGCTAAAATGATCTAATCAATAATTTGTGATAAAAATATTGAACATACATTAAAGGTTAACGTTTCATTAGTTCTGAGAGAAATGTTTCAGGTTTTATTTGATTTTTTTGTTGTTTCTGTAAAGCGTTACCATGGAGACGGGAACTAAGTCCTGACGTATTCTCGTACAGTTTAACCCGGTTGGACCCAGAACCCCCCTCTGTCTTGTGACTCTCATCTTGTTCTCCTCCTCTGCACTGCCTTCCGGTCTTTTCTCCGACTGTCAAACACACACTGAGATGAACCCGGCCTCGCCGCCTGCCAGGATTCACATTTATCCCTCTTCTGTCTGTCGGACAGTTCCTGCTCACATTTCCGCTGAAGGCGGAAGAGAACGATGGGAGAAAAGAGGAGTGATTAAAAGAATGAATAGAAACCAGAGGGATGGAGATTGTGGGTTGTGAAAAGAGTCACTGAGTAACTTTGAGGGTTGAGCCAAAGCCTCCAGACGCAGCAGAAGAAGTGGAAACGTTTGTTCTGCAGTGGTGAAATTCAGTCATAACTATGTGGGTCAGAGAGGAACCCAACAGCGCTACCGTGTGGCAGCAGGTGGTTGGTTACAGACGAGGTTCCCAATGCCAGGATCCAGACCCGCTCAGGGTCCTGGGGTCGTGGTCTGGGATATTTAGCCGAGTTCAGTCCAACGTCAGGATGATTTGGTTTTATTTTCTGTTTCTTTCGTTATTTTTCATTAGAGGTATAACAATCGATGTTTCTGAATATCAGGAAAGAACCGCCCTCTCCACGTTGCGCAACACTCTCCCAGCGCCCGTTTACAAGCAGCTGCCGGCTGTAATGAGTAATAAGAGGCTCTAAAACTAGCATGCAGAGCGTTAGCCTACCTCTCGAGCAGAAAACCGGCAACAGCGACGTCTGTGGGGAGCGGACCGGACCGCGTTAGCCTCTTCCTGATTTCCATGAGAGCGCGGGGGTGCACAGAGTACGCGTGCGCCGGAAGTGAAAACTAACCCAGGATTGGCTTCACCAGAAAATGACATTTTTGCGGACCAGTGGTTGACGTGATCCACCCGGAAGAAAAACATTGATTGATATACCTTTAAAGTTTGTAAAGTTTTTCTTTATTTATTTTTATTTAGCTTTATTTAGAGTTTTTATTTATCTTTCATTTAATTTATCTGTGTTACATGTTATTAGATATTTTATTTTAATAAATAACATTTATTTAATCTAATTTAATTTATTTTGTCTATTTTTTTATTTAATGTTTTAATCTTTGACTTGATTTGATTTTCTTTTCTATATTTAATTTATTTAATTTTACTTCATTTGCACACATTTGATGAGAAACAAAGTATTTTTTTTCCTTTCTAGTATTGAAGTGCAGTTTTAATCTGAGTGGGATTACAGACGAGGATCGGGTGTAGGAGCTTATCTAGAAGTGACCCGGGTCTGGGTCTGGTTCTGGTCAGATTGTCATGACCAAGCAGGGGTCAGGTGGTTCTGCTGGATCTTTATTCATCATGACAATAAAACCTCTCAATGTGTAGTTTTAGTAGATCCACCTGCTGAGACAGGTTCTGGTCAGAACTGGGTCCAGAAGGCTCTCTGACGAAGCAGAAGTTTGGTTAGGGGTCGGGTCTGTAGATGTTTGATTCTAGTGTTTGGACTTTCCTGGTTCTGGGATTCATTAATCTTACTTCCTGTTTGTTTTGTTCTGGTTCCAGCCCAAACCCACGAAGGGTCGGATGAGGATCCACTGTCTGGAGAATGTTGATAAAGCTCTACAGTTCCTGAAGGAGCAGAGGGTCCACCTGGAGAACATGGGTTCTCACGACATTGTGGATGGGAACCACCGACTGACTCTGGGCCTCATCTGGACCATCATCCTTCGCTTCCAGGTAGAGCGGGCTCTCGGTCTGGTTCTGGTCAGGGTTCTGGACAGCCAGCTGGTGTTAGTAGCTAAATCATCCCAGGACAGGTGTTCTTCTGGTTCCCTCGTCTGTTTGGACCTCAGATTTAAGACCAGAACAGGACAGTTCTGTTTCAGGTTCACATAATAACACAGCGGTTCTGCTGGGTTCTGTGGTTCTACTGTACGCTGCAGTGGTTCATTTCTCATGACGTCAGCTTCAGGAACAGTTGGATGAAAGGATTTAGCTTTTTTAAGCTTCTGGGATTAAAAAAGTCTTTTTAAATCCGGCGCTGGAGGAGCAAGGGCGGAATGGAGCCTGTGGTTCTGGCTGGTTCTGGTGGTACTGCTGATGTTGCTGCTGGTTCCATGTTCTGACTCCGGCTGATGGAGGTCCATCCATGAAGGTGAGACGTTTGTGGAGGTTAATCTGATGAGTTTATGGGACCAAATCTGCAGACGGTAGAGATGTTTTTAGTGAAAACCCAACATTTGTATGGAGAGCAGGGACTTCTTCAGCCAGCCAGGCTGGTGGACCAGAGCAGGGTCTGTCTTTAGGAGGTGAAGAACTTTAGAAAAAACCTTAATTTGTTTAGAAGACGTGAACAAGCAGAAAGGAAGGGAGCTCTTTAGACGAAGGACGCTTTTTATAATCTGTGAACATTTTATTTGGAAAGTTTCGGTTTCAGAATTGTGGTAAAACTAGAGATGCACCAGTTCTGGTTTTGAGAGCTGATGCCAGCTCAGACCTGCAGGGACAGGAGTTGCTGGTCCAAGTGGACCTCTGCCTCTCGACCTGACCTGACCCCAGATAAGCGGAGGAGGGTGGATGGACCTACAGGGTCACGTTTATCTTAAACACGCAGAACAGAACTTCTCATAAGTTAGGATTCAGGAGGAAACCCTCCTCATGAAACATCTGTTGGTGCTAGTATATAAATATATAAATATCCATCCGTTGTCTGGACCCGCTTTGTCCACGTACCAGACGACGGCGCAACACTAACAGCAGAATATTTAAAAGGTTTCTTGTCTTTGTGTCTCAGATTCAGGACATCAGTGTGGAGACGGAGGACAACAAGGAGAAGAAGTCTGCTAAAGATGCTCTGCTGCTCTGGTGTCAGATGAAAACTGCTGGGTCAGTTTTTATCCCCCCACCCCCACCCCACTCGGTTTGATTGACAGCTCTCTGAGCCAATGAGATCTCTCATGTTGTGTGCCAAGGCTTGGACAAGCTGGAAAACCTTCAGTACTCCTGTTCCTAAATTAGTTCTCTTCCTTTTCTGGTCCAGATATCCAAACGTCAACATCCATAACTTCACCACCAGCTGGAGAGACGGGATGGCCTTCAACGCTCTGATCCACAAACACAGGTGGGAGGTTCACCTGCAGACGTTTCAGACCCGACAGGAAGAAACGATCGGACACTAATGTTAATGTTCTCGATCTGTTCATAACCAGCTGGTTCTGGAGCTTCAGTAGAGTTCTCTTACTGAGAGAGGTGTCTTTTGTTTATTATCCTTCCTTAAACTTAGACAGAATTCTAACACAACTAGATCATTCAGTTTGATGGCTGGTGATCTGGCCGTTAGAACCATCGACATATATACTGGACAATTCATTTCCATAGGCTCCAATAACACTTTTTTGAGGCTAAATGGGCGGTGGCCACCACCGCCATTTTGACCGTGTCACAGGTTCCGTCAAGCCCAGTCAATTCCACAAAAGGGAAGAGAGGTGGAGCTGAGGGTGTGGCTGTAAGGCTGGGATCAACTGACGACACCCGGTCGAACTAGCTACAAGCTAGCCTGAAGCTAACCCAAAGCTAATGCGGAGGTGGGAGCAAAGCTAACGGAGGTAGCAACCTAGCTACAACCGGAGTTAACGGTGCACAACACCAGAGCTTCTGAGTCAGAGATACGCTGGATAAAACCGGGTGGAACGCAGAGATCTCCCAAAAGCTGCTGAAAGCCAGTGTCGGTACAAGATCTGCTCAGATGCAAGATCGGCTCGGGGTCCGTCGACTGCCGATGACGTCTAAGTAGTTGATTGGCTGAACATGAACCTTATGGAATTACGTAATCACGTTACGTTGGTCCAGGCAAATCTTTCTATTGGAAAGATGGACAACTTTTACAAAGAAATCCATCATTACCTCTTTGAAAATTCACTTTTAGCATAGAGCTGCATGTATATTAGGGCTGAACAATTAACTGCATGTGCAATTAAATTGCGATGTGACAAAAGGAGATTTTCTAATCGCAAAGGCTGCAATTTGGCAGCGTGTGGTTAGCGCAATGCTAATATACATGGAAAACCCCATAGGAATGCTAATGCTAATATCACTGATTACATTATTACAAATTATGAATTAGAAACGTGCCAAATGATTACATTTGGAGTCTAATAGAAAGTAAAACCACCATCAATCAAATAAGTACAGACAGGTATTTTAGTAAAGCCAGAAAACTTTTAACTCCAGAGTTTTGGCTAGCAGCTATGAGCGTAACTGAACTACTCATGGACAAGACGTCAAAAACTCTAAACACAAAATACTTCAATAAATGGGACCACTTCTTTCCTGCAAATAAAATTTCACAGGTGTTGCTAATACCTATGATCCTTCAAGGGATGTGCTCAAAGAGGAGTTCAACATCATGAATACAATATAGTGTTTTATTTTACAAATACCATTATAAACACAAACTTACGTCTTAAGAAACATTATTTTAATAACGAAACTGCTAAATTCTTTCCAACAGTATAGATGTGTAGTGTATTTTGTCTGAGTCGGTTTGCCGTACTTTGACGTCATCGGCAGTTGAAGGACCCCGAGCCGATCTTGCACCCGAGCAGATCTTGTACCGACACCAGCAGCCCGCGCAGCAGACAGAAGCCGCGATCAGACAGAGATGCGCCGAGCTGCAGGGGAGGGGATAAGGGTGGAACACAGAGGTCTCCCGAGAGCTCCACAAGTCGATAGTGGGAACCCAGCTCCACCGACATGTTATTTCAACCCATTTTCTAAAGTGCAGCATTATGTTAAATGCTCTGGGTTTTACCCTATTACATTTAAATTTCATGGCTAAGCAGTACATGTTAAAATCTAAGCTCAGCTCAGCAATGACCTAAAATACATAAATATAATTTTACTTACCGAAAAAATGAAGTGGAGACTCCTTGGACGCTCTATTAGTGCAATTAATGCCACAGCAAGTCATTTTGTCCAACAGTTGCACAAAAAATATCCAAAAAAGAATACACAAGCACAGAGACTCAAAATCCCGGAGCAGTTTCCAGGCCAGACCGAGGCTCTACTGAGGCCTTTCCACAGAGCTAGCTCTGTGGTCACGTGGGTCTGATGCTCATTAATTATACAGAATTTTAGGCTTTTAATACACTTAAACAGAAGAGTGAGAAAAAATTCACCCCCCTCAGAGTTGTCATGAGTGTAAACTAGATCATTTAAACCAAAAACATGTTTTGGTACCAGGCTGTAAACATGTTTATTTCTGCTGTGAAATTCACATTTTTAACATGGGAGTCAATGAGGATTTGCTCGCTTCTGACACCAGCCTCCAGTGGATGAGGGTGGAACTGCAATTTTTGGTACTTCCGGGTTGGGCTCAATTTTTCACCCGCATTGTGGGGGCTTGGTTAGAACGTGAGGCTGGCGATAATGTAGAGTTAAACGTTCACCCGTGTGGAGAAAAGAAGATGAGTGTTTATAGTCATTATTTATTAATATCGTGCCTGTGTCTGCTCCAGGCCCGACCTGATCGACTTTGATAAACTGAAGAAATCGAACGCTCACTACAACCTGCAGAATGCCTTCAACCTGGCTGAGCATCACCTCGGGCTCACCAAGCTGCTGGACCCCGAAGGTGATGCGCGCGCATACACACACACACGCACATACGCACGCACATGTACGCATACACACATATACACACACGTACACACTCAAGCGCATGCACACACACATACACACACATACGCACATGCATGCACACACACACACATACACACACGTACGCACACACATGCACACACACATGCAAAACCCCTGTTTGTTAAATGCATTTGTCAGTATATTTGTTTCTAATGCGTGTGTGTGTGTGTGTGTGTGTGTGTGTGTGTGTGTGTGTGTGTGTGTGTGTAGACATCAGCGTGGACCACCCTGATGAGAAATCCATCATCACCTACGTGGTCACCTACTACCACTACTTCTCCAAGATGAAGGCACTGAAGGTGGAGGGGAAGAGAATCGGCAAGGTAACAGAATGACTCACAACACCTCCGGTTTAAACCCGCATCAGAACCGGGCCGAGCCTAGGCTTGGTTTGTTTCTGTTTGTGGTTCAGATGAAAGTCTGATGCGTTAACAATTATGAAATCCATTTAGAGAATCTAATCATAAAACTGTATTTATTACATTCATGAATGAAACTTCTTTTATTGTGATCATTTTCTGCTTATTTTAGTTTTTTATTCCATTATCATTCATCTGCAAAATTAATTTTCCATAATGTTCATTTGTCTTGAGCAGGCCCTCCTAATCCCACATCACACAAAATCTACTTTCAGAGCTTTTCTAGTTATTAATTTATTTATCCTTTTTTTTTTTACGTTTGGACCTTTTTGCCATGTGGTATTGTTATTTCCTCATGAAAAAAATCAGACCCGTTTTTGGCTGCTTTCATGCATTTTCCTGTTTCAGCTGCACATTTTGACTTTTACTTTGAAAATCCTTTAAAGCCTTAAATGGACAATGTACCGTTTTTACCGTTAATCTCTGGAGATGTTGAAATGTTGTTGAAAATGAATACAATGATGCCCAGGCTTTGAAATATATTGGCGCCTTCGTCAGAGCCGTGTCCAGGACTTTTAAAATGGGGTGGCCCATGTGGGGCACTTGTTTATGCATGGGTGGCACCAATGGTTATGCTTATTTATTTATTTACACAAATCGTTTATTTATTTATTTACTTTCTAGTGAATTTCGGAGTTTCACATTGCACAATCACCATTTTTTTCTATTCATCTTCTAGTTTTGTGGTGGTTAGCAAGTCACTTCTTGTTGCATTACTGCCGCCAACTGGAGTTGAGTGGGGCTCAATACTATTTATGTGAATATGATAAAATAATAAGTAATATTAATACTACAGAAATGATCTGTAGGCCTGGGCTAGAAGACGATGTTAAAGGTGCATGCAACCACACACTATTTTGGAGTTTACAACCCAAGCCTTTTGTCGACAATGTAAAGTCAGTTTAAACTGGAACTTAGTGGGGTGGCCAATCAGATTCTAAGGGTGGCATGTGCTACCCCAGGCCACTCCCTGGACACGCCCCTGGCCTTCGTTGCACTTGACAATACAAGTCGGTCTAAGTTTCTGGGTGATGCCATGTTTCCTTCTACAGGAGCCTATATGGACAAAAAGCATTTACTGATGCCCTCGACAGGAAGGTTACATGAAGGCTCTATGAACTCACTTAACACTGGCGGCTACAGGAGGATCTTTGTTGACGTTTTCTTTCATCTTTGTGTGCATGCGCTAGCCTGTGTAGCAAAAACAAATATGGCTTGTACACTTACACAAAAGTTTACGGATGAAATCCCCAATTTATAAACACTGCAACGTCTACAGACATTGAAGTTGTTTAATGGTCGCCTGCAATCATCTCTTTTGTATTTTGCGGTCGTTTACGGAGGAAATTCCAATAAAACCTTTTATGAAGCTTCCCATGGGCTGAACGATCCACCAGCAAGAACGATCCATCCAAATCCTCCTTCAAACGTGCAAAACAACTGTGCTACGACACTCCTCCATCAGCCTGAGTCTGAAGACACTAGGCTGTGACCCCAGTGGCCATCCGTTGGTAACATCTCACTTGAACACAAACATACTGCTAGATTGCAATGATTTAGGTTTGTGCTGCCCGCTGTTGCCAGGTAAAATACACACCGTCACTTTAATGGAAACTAATCTCGCCATCAGGCCATACTCCTGACCCGGAAGCGAGTCTGGTCTGAAACATGCCACCTCTGGCTGGTACAGGATATGTGGCTTAAGCCCGGATTACACTGTGCGATTTGCAGCCTTCTTAGGCAGATCCCTCGTCGGGAGCAGAATCGTGTAAAAAAAAAAAAGGTGAATGTGAGAGTGATTTACATATGGTCGTCCAGTCTGACGGTTCTGCGACAGCTTTCTGAGCCATCTCACAACCAAAGACAGCCTCCGACAATCTACAAGCGTGCTTGAAAACCTTGAAAACGACTCCTGTCTGCAACCGACCAATGAAAACACACTTTTGGGATGCCGCAGCAGCAAGACTCCGCCTCTCTGAGCTTTGGTCTCAATTTATGTTTAAAATGCGGATTATAACCTACACACCAGTTTCTATTTCTGTTAATAGTCAAACCGGAGTTATACTAAAACAATTTACATACTTAGACCATCAGATGAAAAGTGAAAACCTTTATTCTGTCATCTGAGAGCTGAGAGGAGATGAGCTCACAAACATAACGATTACAACACAAAAACATGAGATTCCTTTTCTGTTGGTGGAAATTTCACATATTCACCTAATAATGATGGTTCAGTAGTGTTTGGCTGCGGGGGGCAGAGGAAGCTGCGCTCTGTGACAGCGAGTGTGCTGATGGCAAAACTGGGATGGCAGGTGCTTCAACCACTGAACCACCGTAGCAGCACAGCAGTTCAGCCAGAGCGGGCGTGGGCGGAGTCTCTCTGAAACCGGGTTTAAACTCAGGCTGATGAAAAGTCACACTTAGGATAAATGACATCTCAGTAATATTTATGACAGGGGTGGGCAATCGTGGTCCTCGAGGGCCGCTATCCAGCAGGTTTTAGTTGTTTACCTGCCCCAACACACCTGATTCCTGGATGAATCACCTGTTCAGCAGCTCATCAGGCTCTGCAGCAGCCTGTTAATCACTAGTAGATTCAAACCAGGTGCGTTTAAGCAGAGAAACAAGTAAAACCTGCTGGACAGCGGCCCTCGAGGACTGGGATTGCCCACCCCTGATGTATGGCATACTGGGCCTGGCTTTGCTCTGATAGGTTCAAAATAACACGATCTGGAACCTTTAGATTAAAACTGCTGTTTTAAAGGAAATCGATGGTTAAATAAACTAAACAGGAACCTGTTCAGGTTAGATGGATGCTGTTGAATAGAATAAAGAGGTTTTATTTAATGTTCTACTTGTCACATTAAAACATGTGAAGTTCGGTCAGGAAACAAACTCCGATCTTTCTGAAACTAAGAGGGGTCATTTAATCTTGTCCGGTGTTTCTGAATTTCTGGAGTGGGATTTAATCTGGAATTCTAATGATGAGACACGAAGAACTGTCATTCCAGGAAGTACGGCAGGAATTTTACACAGATAACCATGTGGATCTGTTTGTTTAGAAAAACGCCCGTTTGCTTTCTGCTAAACTAAATCCTTGCTTCGGGTTGGTGAGAGTTTTCCCTCCGCTGTGTCTTGCAGGTTCTGGATAATGCCATTGAGACGGAGAAGATGATTGAGAAGTACGAGTCTCTGGCGTCCGACCTGCTGGAGTGGATCGAACAGACCATCATCATCCTCAACAACAGGAAATTCGCCAACTCTCTGGTTGGAGTCCAGCAGCAGTTGCAGGCCTTCAACACCTACCGGACCGTGGAGAAACCACCAAAGTCAGTAGATGATTGTTCGAACCTGCAGCTCCTGGCGCTCATAGGCTGAACGTCTGCGTGAACTTGTTGAACTGAACAACAGAACTCACCTCAGACGGAGCGAGGCTGGTGGGCGTGAGAGGCTCCGAGCTGCAGGTTTATCTCCAGATCTGAGTTTGTTTCCATGTTCCAGAAAACGTTTCATGTTTGTTCAGGTTCACAGAGAAAGGAAACCTGGAGGTTCTTCTGTTCACCATCCAGAGTAAAATGAGAGCCAACAATCAGAAGGTTTACACTCCTCGAGAGGGGAAGCTCATCTCTGACATCAACAAGGTAGGCTCAGCCGAGCCGTGATGGACGGACTCTGCAGCAGCTGCGGGGTTCGGCCTTAGAATGAGCACCTCACCGTGCGCGTCTGGTTACCAGCTCATTTTGGCCCTGTGGGTGTGCGTTTGTTGTAGGCGTGGGAGCGTCTGGAGAAGGCGGAGCATGAGCGTGAGCTGGCGCTGAGGACAGAGCTGATTCGTCAGGAGAAACTAGAGCAGCTCGCCCGGCGATTCGACCGTAAGGCCGCCATGAGGGAGACGTGGCTGAGCGAGAACCAGAGACTGGTCTCACAGGTAAAACTCACCTGGTGCTGCTCACCAGGACAAGTCTCTGGGCTCCCTGTTTTCTCATGTGTCTCCTCTCCTCTGTGTCCGCAGGATAACTTTGGATTTGACCTCCAAGCTGTTGAAGCCGCCACCAAGAAGCACGAAGCCATAGAAACGGACATCGCCGCCTACGAGGAGCGAGTCCAGGTGAGTCCACCACCTGCTACTGTCCTGCTTGTTGGTCAGACGACTCCTCATCGCTCTGCATCGCCGACAGCGTCAGATCTCTGATCTCATCCTACTCTCACACAGGCCGTGGTTGCCGTGGCAAAGGAGCTGGAGGCGGAGAGTTACCATGACATCAAACGCATCACGGCCAGGAAGGACAACGTGATCCGTCTGTGGGAGTACCTGCTGGAGCTGCTGAAGGCCCGCAGACTGAGGCTGGAGCAGAACCTGGGCCTGCAGAGAGTCTTCCAGGAGATGCTCTACATCATGGACTGGATGGACGAGATGAAGGTACCAGCGTTTAGAGAAACGGTGTTTCAGACGAGCCCTCATCCTAAACACGCTCCATCTCAGTGTTTAAATGTTTAACCCTAACCCGATGACCAGGTGGTGAGTCGTCAGTTTGGTTTCTGCAGAGGAAAATATCTGATTGATCTTAAATAAATAACTGACCTTTGACCCTCTCCTGGTCTGCAGATGCTGCTGCTCTCCCAGGATTATGGGAAACACCTGCTGGGGGTGGAGGACCTGCTGCAGAAACACGCTCTGGTGGAGGCTGACATCGGCATCCAGGCCGACCGGGTCCGAAACGTCAACAGCAACGCTCAGAAGTTCGCTGCAGACACCGACGGTACCGCAGAGCCGTTGTTGTGATCTCTGTCTTCGGTCCCGAGTTTCTGTCTCACTCCTCCTCCTCCTCCTCTTCAGGTTACAAACCCTGTGATCCTCAGATCATCAGGGACCGGGTCACTCACATGGAGTTCTGCTACCAGGAGCTGACTCAGCTGGCAGCTGAGCGGCGAGCTCGCCTCGAGGAGTCCCGACGCCTGTGGAAGTTCTTCTGGGAGATGGCCGAGGAGGTCTGATCACTGATTACTAACCGTGAATCAGAAACGTCGCTGTTAGGGTTATCAACTCAGTCCAAGTTTGAATTTATTTCAAGCGCATCAGGAATAATTTGGATGTTCTGGGCGAGGTGCTCTCTGACGACAGCGTTTGTGGTTTGTAGGAAGGGTGGATCAGGGAGAAGGAGCAGATCCTGTCCTCTGAGGATTACGGGAAGGATCTCACGGGTGCCGTCAGACTGCTGAGTCAGCACAAAGCCTTCGAAGATGAGATGAGCGGGCGAGCCGCCCACCTGCAGCAGACCATTAGACAGGGCCAGGAGCTGGTGGCCGACAACCACTTTGGAGCCGAGAAGATCAAAGAGCGGATCCAGGACATCCAGGTACGCTGCAGCGGTCCAAAGGACAGAAAACGGTTCATTTGATTGGAGCTAAGCAGTTCCCCTCTTCTCGTGCAGGAGCAGTGGGCGGCTCTGGAACGGCTCTCTGCTGTTCGAAAGGCTCGTCTGCAGGAAGCCTGCAACCAGCACCAGTTCCAGGTCAAGGCTCCTCACTTGCTCCTCTTCTGTAGCAACCAGAACTCCCAGCAGCTGAACCGAGCCCTTGTTTGATCTTCTCCCTGCAGGCTGATGCTGACGACATCGACACATGGATGCTGGACATTCTCCGGATCGTCTCCAGCGTCGACGTGGGCCACGATGAGTTCTCCACTCAGGCTCTGGTGAAGAAACACAAAGATGTGGCGGAGGAGATCGGCAGCTACCGACCCGTCATCGACGCGCTGCACGAGCAGGCCCGGACGCTGCCGCCGGAGAAGGCCGGCTCAGAGGAGGTAGAGCTAGAGGTCTGACGCAGAGCCCACAGACCTGCTCTCTGCAGTCCATGATGGTGTTCTCTTGGTGCTTTTGTGTGTGCAGGTCCAGAACCGGCTGGCGGGTATCGAGGAGCGATACAAGGAGGTGGCGGAGCTGACCCGGCTCAGGAAGCAGGCGCTGCAGGACGCCCTGTCGCTCTACAAGATGCTGAGTGAAGCTCGTGCCTGTGAGCTGTGGATCGATGAGAAAGAGCAGTGGCTCAACAGCACGGAGATCCCAGAGAAGCTGGAGGACCTGGAGGTCGTCCAGCACCGGTAAGCTAGCCTGGCCAGCTGGAACCCTCCAGTTCAAATAACCCCGCCCCCTGAGAATTCTAACTGAGCCATTCAGCACTGAGCAGCGTACATCACACACCGCAACGCTCAAACAACGAAGATGGCGTCTGAAACGGAGTTGGCTGCGGCTCTTTCCTCTGTTCTAAATGACTTGGACCCGTCTTTAAAACCGCAGCGAGTAGAAGTGCTGAAAGCTTTTCCTCTAAAGAAAGATGATTGGTTATGTTTAAGCTGGCTAGCCCCGCCCCTCTTGTGCCTCTCTTCCCGTGAGTTACCAGACTAGTTCTCTGTGTAGAACAGAGGATGAGTCTGGCAGGCCAGGCTACCGGTACGCACCACCGGACCTCCTCTGAGTCGGGCCGGCAGAGGGAACACGACCAAGGAGCTCATCTGATGCTTCCTGCCTCTTCAGGTTTGAGAGTTTGGAGCCAGAGATGAACAGTCAGGCCTCTCGGGTCGCGGTGGTCAACCAGGTGGCCCGGCAGCTGGTCCACAGTGGACATCCCAGTGAGAAGGAGATCAAAGCCCAGCAGGACAAACTCAACACCAGGTACTCGGATCAAACCCGAATCAGGTCAGAACCTGAGTGGTGTTCTGATGGAGTCTGCCTGTTTCAGATGGAGTCAGTTCAGAGACCTGGTGGACCAGAAGAAGGAGAACCTTAACTCAGCTCTGGGAGTCCAGAACTACCACCTGGAGTGTAACGAGACCAAGTCCTGGATCAAGGAGAAAACTAAGGTACCAAACAGAACCAGTCCAGCATAGCAGAACTTTACTACCCCCCCCCCCCCCCCCCCCCCCCCTCCATCTGGTAAGCTTATTCTGTTGTTGCAACTACAACCTCCACACTCGAGGTCGCTTTGTTGTTTGTGTTCCATAATCCACCTTTAACCCTTTGATGCATGAATTATGAAATCTTCAACCATGATTTTTTTAACAATTTTTTCATTCATCTTTAGGTGTGAACAAAACAAATTTCAACAAATATTTGTTGTAAAATTTTATAATTTACAAATAATTTATTACATATGCACCTTGGTGGACAGCGTGCATTCTGAGCATGAAATATTTTGGCTTGGCTTACTGAAGTCCAAATGGAGGGGCTCAAATGCAATAAAGTCTTCAACAGCTGTGCTTAATAGCAAAAACAAATAACAATTTTGAGTACCTGTCCACTGTAGTGACCATTATGCATCAAAGGGTTAAAATGTTTTTTTTTTGTATTTTTGATTTATTCAGGTGTTTACAAAGTAATCCGATTACTTAAAACCAGGAACTGGGTGGAAGGAGGAGTTTTTGTCACTGTAATCACTCTGGAACCTTGTGCAGGTGATCGAGTCGACCCAGGAGCTCGGGAACGACCTGGCCGGCGTCATGGCGCTGCAGAGAAAACTGACTGGGATGGAGCGGGACCTGGTGGCCATCGAGGACAAGCTGAGCGACCTGGGCAAGGAGGCGGAGCGGTTAGGTTCTGAACATGCAGAGCAGTCCAAGGCCATCAAAGAACGTCTGTCTGAGATCACGGGTGTCTGGGGCGAGATGAAGGTTTGAGTCTGGACCAGATTAACTGTTCAGATGATTCAGGACCTGTCCGGTCTTAATGCTCCTCCCTGGTTAACAGGACTCGTTGAAGAACCGTGAGGAGTCTCTGGGTGAGGCCAGCAAGCTGCAGCAGTTCCTACGAGACTTGGATGACTTCCAGTCCTGGCTTTCCCGGACCCAGACCGCCATCGCCTCTGAGGACATGCCCAACACGCTGGCCGAGGCTGAGAAGCTGCTGGCCCAGCACGAGGGCATCAAGAACGAGGTCCGCAACTACGAGGAGGACTACCAGAAGATGCGGGACATGGGTGAGATGGTGACGCAGGGTCAGACAGACGCTCAGTACATGTTCCTGAGACAGCGGCTGCAGGCGCTGGACACCGGCTGGAACGAGTTGCACAAGATGTGGGAGAACCGACAGAACCTGCTGTCCCAGTCCCATGCCTACCAGCTGTTTCTGAGGGACACCAAGCAGGCCGAGGCCTTCCTCAACAACCAGGTAGCCAGCTCTTCCTCACAGCCAGACTTTAGCGTCGCTGAACTCGTCTAAAAATGTCTGAATATCAGTCTGGAGCACGGATCCTTGAGCTAAATGTCCCGTTTGAAGCTGTTGATCTAGACCAGGGACCTCATTTATCAACCGTACTAATGCGCAGATCTGTGCGTTTGTCGTGTGCAGGAAATAGTGTATGCATTGTGTGGTGTTCGTTGTTTTGCACTTGTGCGTAGAAATGTTCCTAAATTTAAGGAAACCTCTGACCGTGCAAACAAGCTGCATCTAGTGGTTGAACGGTGGAACCGCCAAGGTCTCAGTCATCCACAAGTTCTTCAACCACAAATTATTTTACCCAATAAATAATTATTTTGGGGGAGAAACAGCTGTGTCCAGTGGCGGTTCTACATGGAATTACTCCCTGGGCAAGGCCCCCTGTGACTGATGAGAATCTGACATCGTAGCATGGCTGATCTGGTGTTACTGGAGGATTTGACAGAGCATGACCTCTGGAGGGAACACGATCTCTGTGACCGCTTCGATCTGATTCCTAAAGGAGGTCCGTCTGGAGCTTGGCTGTGATTTGGGACGCTTTGTGGAGCGACAGACTAAAGGCAAAAATCTGATTCCAGTCCATTTGCTATTTAACAGCTACGAGAATCCCCCAGACCCTCCCCTGCTCATACACGCCATGTTGCCAAGGTAACCAGACTGAATGACAGCTCAGAAGAGGCTGCACTCTCAGACATTTCCAAATTAAACGAACTCCAACCAGAACAGCTCCTTTATTGTAAAATAGAAATGTCAACCCGTTACTCTACGATTTATCAGGTTCAGGTTTGTATTTATTCCTGAGTTGTTGTAAAGAGAGGTGAAGGAAAAAAGAAACAGACGATGTCCTTTGTCCATCTGTCCACCTCAGAGACTCTCGTGTGTCTTTATTATTTTTCTGTCCCCTCCTTATTGGCTCTAAGCGTCTCCATCTCATAATGATCGGGGCAAGTTGAGGGTTAGTTGATCCCATGACTGGGGGCTGATCCGGTCGTGGCCCACCAGGACAGAGTGCACCAGTGCATGCTGGGAAATCCCCCCTGACCATATGCTGGCCAAATATGTGGAAACAAACAAACAAACAAATAAACAAAGTAAATATGAGCTGAAAAGTCTTGGTATTTATCTGATGGGACCCCTTATAATATAATATTATCAAACACACACACACACACTGAGCTCTTCCTGTGTTTCCACTCCAGGAGTACGTCCTGGCTCATACTGAGATGCCCACCACTCTGGAGGCAGCTGAGGCCGCCATCAAGAAGCAGGAGGACTTTATGACCACTATGGATGCCAACGAGGAGAAGATCAGCGGGGTGGTCGATACTGGGCGTCGCCTGGTCACTGATGGCAATGTCAACGCTGAGCGAATCCAGGAGAAGGTGGACTCCATCGACCAGAGGTGACGGAGCTGCTGTTTGTAGCAGCGATATAAATATAATTGTGACATTTAAGCTGGTCTGAGATTTTTATTCAGGACCGAAGGAAACTGGTTAAACTGGTTCTGCTCCACAGGCATAAGAAGAACCGACACGCCGCCAATGACCTGCTGACCAGGCTGAAGGACAACAGAGACCTGCAGAAGTTCCTGCAGGACTGTCAGGAGGTAAAGCTCAGACCATTAAACCTTAAAATGTTCAGATTACAGATTATAATCTGACTTGTTTTGGTAATTGTGACCTCAGCTGTCCCTGTGGATCAACGAGAAGATGCTGACGGCTCAAGACATGTCGTACGACGAGGCCAGGAACCTCCACAGCAAGTGGCTCAAACACCAGGCCTTCATGGCCGAGCTGCAGTCCAACAAGGAGTGGCTGGACAAGATCAATAAGGTTGGGAAGGGAACGGGGTCGTCACACAGAACTGATATCAGGAAAGAAGAGGAAGAACAGTTTATATGTTTAAGACGCTTTCCACGAAGATTATTAGTAATTGTTGTTTTGAGAACAGTATCGTTAAGAGAAGCTAACACAAAAGCAAAAACACACAGTTTGACCTCAAAAGACAGTTTACTAAACTAGGGATTAAAAAAGAAAAAAGTCTACAAAAGCATCCTAAATATTTAGCATCCAGGTCTTCTCCCATTTACCTGGGGAGCGGACACCCCCTAGGCCCCTGGCCACGCCCCAACAGTCAATTGTTATTAATAATTACTAATAATCAGCCAGTCTCTCATCAGGAACAACTGGTAACTTTTCTCTGTCATGAAAAAAAAAAAATCAAGTTCTCCTTCTCTTATACCGCCTGTTTGCTTGTGGATTCAATTCTATACCTAGTGGCTTTCCATACCATCTCACTCCAGCCGATGTTTCGTATCCTGTTAAGGTGGTTAAAATAGGGAAGGGGGAATGTTTGGATTCTAGATGGAATGAACGAGTCCGAGAGCTCAAACTAATGGAAATGTCCATTCATGTGTTCCATTTCATAACCGAGGACCGTTCAGTAAGTTCTCCATTAGCAGCTTCACTATTTAGTTTATTTGGTCAATTTTATTGAACTTTCCCATCTCGCCTCTCTTCCTTGTAGCAGGTCGTTGTAACGTTTAGCAAACTCTGAAAGCCAAGAAACAAAGTCTGAAACTCCCACTCCCGTACAGGAGTTGGTTTAACTAACACTGTGTGAAATCACGGTCACATTCTGGCTCCATTTCTGAGAGCTCCTGAAGGTGTCTGCAGACTGGACAGGGATCCTGTCCCTCTAGAAGAGGAAAATCCATTTTGGGTTCTAGGGTTTGTTTAAAGTGCAGACTAGATGAGAAAGAATTCACTTCTTCACCACTATGGAGATTAAACTCCCTGCTAGCTACACGGAGAGACCGGGCTTTAGTGTTTACAGTCCAGCTGGAGGAGGGACCTGGAGTAGAAACTACCTGGACGGAGAGGAGCGGAGCGTGATCACGCTGCAACAACTGAACCTGCAATAGCTTTAGCAAAATGGGCAGAGCTGAAAGAGCAGCTGAGACAGGAAAATGCATGCGTGAAGACGAAAACCACTTTGGGAGTGAAGAGCAACATAAGGTTGTCAAAAGCTCCAAAATGTGCATTTTGCATGAAATGGGGCTTTTAATGCAAAATGTGTTTCTTTGTATTTCAGCCACAAGGTAGGACTGTTTATTAGGTACAGGTACTTATTGATGAAGTCTTTGTTTTGGCTATAAAGTCTTTCTCTGAGATCCCTGCATAAACTTCACGTTTCTGAGCAGCAACAACTAGGGGTGTAACGGTTCACGGTGGGGTGTTGAACCGTTACAGTTCAGCCTGTTCGGTACGGTCCACTCGTGTCCCATTACACCCCAAGCTACAACAGTTCTTCGCATCGTCATGGAAACTTAAATGCACAATATCAGGAGGCAGTAAAAGGCCTTGCACTAGTTTCCGCTCCAAGTGAACGTAGACCTGACCAGATCCTCTCCAAGCGGTCTCAGTGTGTTTCCTTTTAACAGCCACTGCAGACCAGAGTTTAACCAAACATCTGTGTTGCAGGAAGGCCAGACGCTGATGTCAGAGAAACCTGACACGGAGGCCATGGTGAAGGAGAAGCTGTCGTCCTTGACGACCATGTGGGCTGACCTGGAGTCCACCACCCAGACCAAAGCCAAGTGTCTATTTGACGCCAACAAGGCAGAGCTGTTCACGCAGAGCTGCGCTGACCTGGATAAGTGGATGGCGGCTCTGGACGGACAGCTCCAGTCGGATGACTACGGCAAAGATCTCACCTCAGTCAACATCCTGCTGAAGAAGCAGCAGGTGAGGGGCAGGGAGGTGGAGCTTTGGTTTTCTATCTGGGAACCATCAGGAAGTTCAGGGTGCAGCTTGTCCGCATCTATAAAATGTGTCATTCCAAAAGTTACCTTTGGAATAAATGAGAATAAAATAAAAGTGTTTCAGATTCACTCTGTAAACTTTTATTTTTTTAATTCTTGATGAAACGTTTGTGAGTGGAAGTCTAACCAGCTTTTATATACCACACACACACACACACACACACACACACACACACACACACACACACACACACACACACACACACACACACACACACAGGATTCCATGGCTGCGTGGTTATGTAATCTTTAAATTGACGCATTTTCAGGATCTGCTCCGTGTCTTCGGATCTTTAATGAGTCCCGACGTGTTTAGGAGCTGAAGCTGCGGAGCGGGAAGGCAGCACGCTGGTGTTTTTGGTCCCTTAAGGCTGCTTCCGCCTCTTCGTCACATCTGAGCTGTGATTTAGTTTGTGTTTGAGCCTCCCTGTTCCAGTCCAGACTCTCCGTGTTGTTGTTTATTTATTTACCTTCTGCTGCTGCAGATGATCAGGGTTTTATTACATTTTCCTTCTGGGTCTTTCACCGGTTGGACGAGACGAGACGGGGCCCCTGAAGGGTTTATTCCTGTTTTATTGTTGTGGAGACTAACGGTGTCTGGAGGCCCCTCTGCGATTTTTCTACCATGAAAAATGTTTTTGTTTATTAGATGTGATCTTGTTAATGTAACATTTATCTTTTTTAGCTGCTTTATATAATCACATCTTCACATTTTTGCTTTAAAACATTTGCATAAAAACTTGTATTTATTTGTTTAGTTGGTCTATTTCTATATTTTCATGTCCCATTTGTCTAGTGAAGCTTTTTTTTTGGACTCTCAGATGGTTCCCCAGCTTATAGGAATGAGAAAACATTTAAAATTACCCTCAAACTGAACCTTTATCTATTCGAGCTGCATTTCTGGGCTTCCTAAAGGATGGAGTTTGCTCTGTTGTCATGGAAACAGCTGAGAAGTGGTGAAAAACTGTCGTATAAATAGGCATGCTCTCATTCTAGACTTAAGTTCAGATTTTTTTGTTTTAATCACAAATGTAATGAAATTCCTGCTAAAATATTGTTTTCTGTACGTTGAATTACTAAATGTTTGTTCTGTGAGATGACCACTGCTGTTTTCTCATCTCTGGTTGCACTCGGCTGTTCCGTCTCTTGTTTCCTGTGCTCCTCCCTTAGATGCTGGAGAGCCAGGTGGAGGTGCGTCAGAAGGAGGTGGAGGAGCTGCAGAAACAGTCCCAAGCCCTGAGCCAGGAGGGGAAAGGCTCGGAGGAGGTGGACGGTCAAAGGATCAGTGTGGAGAAGAAGTTCCACGCCCTCCAGGCACCTCTGAAGAACAGACGGGACAACCTGATGGCCTCGCGCGAGATCCACCAGTTCAACAGAGATGTGGAGGATGAGATTGTGAGTAAAGTCCGGAGATATTAACGTCTGATTGATCTGATCATCCCTGTGTTTTACTGTGAAAACGGGCTGCTGCTGGTTTAATAGTTGTTGACAGAATGAAATCGATTCCTACCCTAAGTCTTCAACTATTTTACCTACAAGCAGAGCTGAGCGATGCAATGTCTGGGGTTTAGATGAACTCTGTCTGGTTGTGTGGAGAAGACTGGGATCCTTCTTTAGAGCAAAGCAGCATCCAGCTTCACTTTAACGTTTCTCCTGTGTATTTAAAAATAATCAAACTGGTCCCTCCATCTCCTTCTGACTGAGCAGCTTCCCACTGCCTCCTCGCTCTAAAATGAACTCCGCATGCTCGCTACAGTCACGCTCTTTGCATTGGTTGTGCTGTAGCCTGAGGTTTACTAGCGCCCCTCGGAACATTCCCCCCTGGAGGTTTTGCACACAGCCGTGGAAGGATTTTGGCTGAGGTGGTGTGGAAAGGTTCCAGAGACCTTTTTCTCGTTGATAGAGCGCCACGTTTCATATGGGTTGGGCCCATTGGCAAGAACGTTGTACTGGGTCAGATACAGGCCTCAGTATCAGATCGGTGCATCTCTACCTACAAGCAGCAAATATTTAAGCTGGTTCTGGTCAGAGGTCCACTCTCCTTCAAAGTGCTACTGACAGTTTTCAGTCAGACATGGTGCTAGTAGGTTTAAACCACCGTGACTGTTATCGTCAGTAAAACTGTGTGTGTGTGTGTGTGTGTGTGTGTGTGTGTGTGTGTGTGTGTGTGTGTGTGTGTGTGTGTGTGTGTGTGTGTGTGTGTGTGTTGTGTGTGTAGCTCTGGGTGGAGGAGAGGATGGCTCTGGCTACCTCCACAGACCATGGACACAACCTGCAGACTGTTCAGCTGCTCATCAAGAAGAACCAGGTAGGAAACCTGCAGCTTTCATTACGTTAATCACAGTGCAGGACACAAATAGCTCCTTCATCGTTGTTATCTAGGGCTGGGACTTGATTAAAAAATTTAATCTAATTAATTACAGGCTTTGTAATTAATTAATCTCAATTAATCGCATTTTAATCGTTCAGGAAAATGTGCTCTCAAAGTAAAACTTTTAACTAAAATTATGAGACAGAGAATCAAACATTAGACATGGTTATTACTGTAAACTAAAGCTTTTAATAAAAAATGCATTTTAATTATTCAAATGTCACTGTGTGATATGAAACAAAACCCAAATCAACTAAAATTTATAATTACAAATAGAAAACACCTGCAAAGGGTTCCTGAGCCTTTACATAGTCTCTCTGTCTAGTTGAATGACTGAAATAAATTTGACTTTGCACCAGATTCTAATTTTTCCAGTTTCACTTGTTTGTATAATTGGGAGTTTTTATTAGCATTTCTACTCATAATGTAGTAAAAACACATAAATAATAATCGTTCAAAATGACAGTAGAACAGGCACAAATATGATCTAGGACTTAAATGTACTAACCTTTAACACCAGAGCAGGCATGAATATTCTGAGAATGATCAGGAACACTAACTGGTTCCAGTTGGATGACTGGAGGATGATGGGAAGATAAAAGATCATGGCAAGGAAATGATGTGACGAACAAGTGAGCGGACCTTCCTTACATGGGAAGTCCTGATGTCACGTTAAGAAGGGGATGCTGCAGACCCGCAGATTCACGCCTGCAGCAGCGAATCTGGTGTGATCTCCAGCCTGATCACAACTTCCTCGTTCCTCGCTGCCCCTGATACACTTAAGCATCCGCCTCTTAGCTGATGACAGATTCAACACACCTCGCTGCTTAATGATAGTAATGCATGTGATGTTTAATCAGAGACTCGTCTCAGAAACATAGAATTCCCCGACAGAATTGTTTAGAAAATCATCAGAAAAGTTTCAGAGTCTTTCTGTTTTAACTTAAACTTCTGTTTTCAACTGTAAGACACGTTGTTTGTGATTGTTTACAGAGTAGTGAGAACACGGAGCGTTCTCCCAGCGGCAGCCAGGTGCCTCTCGTTTGTCTGACTACTTTCATAAACTACTGTTAGGACACAGAATTATTCTGTCTGGTGCTTTCAGCGCTGCACAGATGTTACGTAAATGTTAAAAATATAGCTTACCACTACTTTTGTAAAGTTTCCTGTGCCACCGGGCAGCTGCAGCAGAGATGATCTCTGAAAAATGTCCGCGACACGGACTCCGTTGTTGTCTGGAAGTTTTTTTTTCCAAGTTAAGAAAAGAGGCGGACGTGTTTCCTAAATCCTGCATCAGTCCAAGCAAGGCAACTTCTTTCTGTTTTAATTCCGTTTTAGTAGCCATTAGCACTGTGCATTGTTGTGTGCGTTAGCGATATTCAGTCTACGAGGAAGTCGTGCAATGACAAAGGTTCCGCCGTGCTTGAAATGCAAGCTGCGATTAAATGCGTGGATTTTTTACGCGTTATTTTTTTCTAATTAATTAATCATAATTAACGCGTTAAAGTCCCGGCCCCATTATTATCATAAAATATCTCAATGTGGGAAGCTGGATGCCTTCAACATTTGTTGAAAATTTGTGATGTTTGACATCTGTAGACATTGCAGAAGGAGATCCAGGGTCACCAGCCTCGATATGACGACATCTTTGAGCGCAGCCAGCACATCCTGAGGGAGGGCAGCCCCACGGCTGAGCTGATCCGCCAACGGCTCACCGACCTCCAGTCGCTTTGGGACCAAATGAAGAAGGAGACGGAGAAGCGACATGCCCGCCTCAGCGAGGCCCACGAGGCCCAACAGTACTACTTTGATGCCGCTGAGGCAGAGGCATGGATGAGCGAACAAGAGCTCTACATGATGTCAGAGGAGAAGGCCAAGGTGAGTCGAAACAGCAGGTTGAGGTGTTCGGGTCAAACACAGGTCTGTTTTTAATGTATTTACAACACAGATGTGTTGAAACCTTGGTATGGCTGAGCTTAGTGAGCAGGGAGACCCATAGGCTGGGGCCTGAGCACCTTATGTTAGAGAACAAAAACCCAGGTCAACAAGTCAGAGATCTGCTCTGCTGGGTTTCATCTGTTAAAAATGAAAAGGAACATTATATTTTTGAGTGGACTTAGTAGAATTAAGAAAACAGAAAAGGGACTGAGGACTCATCCTTGTGGTACTCCACAACTCAAAAGAGCCACTGGAGAAGGGAATTTATTCAAAGATGGATGTAAAAAGTTCTGAAGGTTTTGTTGGAGGATAGTTGTGCATTTAGACCCAGGAAAATGCAGAAATTAACCAGATTCAAATAACCCGAGCGAGTCTGTATGTTGGAAAGCTCTAAAACAAGCCTGGAACACCAAAAAAAGCTACTAGCTACCATAAATAATATAATCTGTGCAAGAATGACTGCCTACAGCTGAAACAAAGGTTTAGGTTTTTAATGACCTAAAGTAATGCTGGTGGTTGGAGGGACCGGTGGCGCCCGTGCCCAGCAGCCACGCCCCCCCGTTGGTGCGCCCCGGGGCAGCTGTGGCTATCTCACCACCGTCAGTGTGTGAATGGATGCATGACTCACTGTAGTGTAAAGGGCTTTGGAGTCCTCTGACTCTGAAAGGCGCGGATCATTTATCGTTAAAGATTACAAATGACAAGATGATGATCAAATGAAATGTTTAATTTTAATTTCATTAAAAGAGAAAAAGCAACGATTGTAAAGTGAACATGGTCAGTGACCATGTAAACAAGTTTACCTAGATTTAAATAAGTTAGTTACATGTCAGTTGCAAACGATATAGATATTCATAGATATTTACTGTAAGTCTATTGTTTCTGATCAGAGTCTCAGCTCACATCACTTCTGCTGTTCAGGATCCAGCTAATCAGATAACTTCCTGTTCCTTTGTGTCTGATCACCTGTCGGTTCCTCCGTCGGAGTTTAATTGGTCCATGTTGGTGTCAGTTTTCTGTTTCTGCTCACTTCTCTGCAGATTGGCAAGTTTTTAAAATACTTCACAAATCAGATTCTCATAGTTTAGATGCAGGTTAGGAAGAGTCACCCAAACTTTTCTCTGCTGTTACTTTTCTTTTCTTTTCACTTCCATGTTTTTGTTTCATTTCCTTGTTCTTTTTTTAAAGATGAAACTATTATGTCTGTTTTCCGGGCAGCAGAAGCAAAAACGTGTCTGTTTGTTGCAGGACGAGCAGAGTTCAGTGGCCATGCTGAAGAAGCATCAGATCCTAGAGCAGGCGGTGGAGGACTATGCCGACACCGTCCACCAGTTGTCCAGCACCAGCCGTGGCCTGGTGGCCGCCGAACACCCCGACAGGTGAGACCGAAGGCTTCAGGGCATCGCTGTCTTCTTCGAAGCAGAGAGTAACTTCAGATCTCCTGGTTTCCTCCTCCAGCGAACGCATCGGGATGCGCCAGTCTCAGGTGGACAAGCTGTACGCAGGCCTGAAAGATCTGGCCGAAGAGCGTCGAGGAAAACTGGATGAGCGTTTCCGGCTTTTCCAGCTCAATCGGGAAGTGGATGACTTGGAGCAGTGGATCGCTGAAAGGGAAGTGGTGGCTGGATCTCATGAGCTTGGACAGGACTACGAGCACGTCACCGTGAGTCCTGCATACACAAAGAATTCCTTCAGATAGTGTCTGATGATGCCTGAACCCCCCAAAAAATCTTGTGTTTTTTATCATCAGATGCTGCAGGAGCGTTTCAGAGAATTTGCCCGTGACACAGGAAACACTGGCCAGGAGCGCGTGGACGGCGTTAACCGGCTGGCAGACGATTTGATCAACTCAGGCCACGGCGATGCCGCTACCATCGCTGAGTGGAAGGACGGCCTGAACGAGGCCTGGGCTGACCTGCTGGAGCTCATTGACACCCGCACGCAGATCCTTGCTGCCTCCTATGAGCTGCACAAGTTCTACCACGATGCCAAGGAGATCCTCAACCGGATCCTGGACAAACACAAGAAGCTTCCAGAGGAGCTGGGCCGAGACCAGAACACGGTGGAGACCCTGCAGAGGATGCACACCACCTTCGAACACGACATCCAGGCTCTGGGAACGCAGGTACACCTCTGATGTCACACTCCTATTGAGTTCTCCATCAGCTGTCTGCTTATATGACACCTTCTGTTTGAGTCCAGCTTGTCTGAGTCTGGCTTGTTTGAGTCTGGCTTGTTTGAGCCCCTTTTACTTCATTCAGTTGTGATCTGAGCTGCTTCGTGCGCTGCTGTGTCTTTTTCAGGTCCGACAGCTTCAGGAAGACGCCGTCCGTCTGCAGTCGGCCTATGCCGGAGACAAAGCTGATGACATTCAGAAGAGAGAAGGAGAGGTGAGCTTCCTGCTGATGTTTTCACCTCGTTAAAGAGCAGAGATTCGCCCATCTCTCATTAAAAATGAAGCAGAGGTGAGGCTGATCAAACGGCTCACGCTTGCTGCACGGCTGTTGCACTAACCACGTCTGGAAGATGTATCCAGCAACCTGAAGAAACAGAAATATTTACATAAAACAGAGGCAACCCAAAGCGAGCTGCTCTAAAACCATACAGGGCATGGTCAAATACTGGAAACACGTTTTCCTCGAGAATCATAGAAAACTAACAGATTGAGAAATCTGTCTTTTCCCTTCAAGCGAGAGTTGTGTGTGTCACGCCAGATTCGTTAGGAGTTTCAGTGTGAGTTTTTTGATCAAGAAGAGCTGATGTTTTATTCCCACAGGCTAGAAATGATAAAGGGAATTTTTCACAATTATTTCAGTTTTAATCTTGACGTTATTTTACAAACTCCACACGTTTTTAAATGATGGAGCAGAAATATTCAACCTTTCTATTTTTGACTCATTAAAACTAAAATAAAACTCATTTTTCTCCATCTGCTGCCAAAGATCTGCGATTTAGAAATCCTGTCTGTGGCCTTTTGTTTTTGAATGCACCACTACCAAGCAGCAATAAAGACGTCCGACATTCTCCTGGAGACATTCCAGAAAGCGAGTTTAGAACATCTGGGATCTCCTGATTGAATCCCAGCTTGACAAAGCGTCAGCAAGCCTAGCTGCTAGCCTGCTGCGGAGCAGGTTGTTAGCCAGCACGTGTTACCATGGTAACAGGGAGGGGCTTCAGGCTTGCCATATTCGTAAAACCAATTTAGGGGCAGTTACACCGGGAATCTCAAAAGAAAGTCTGGTTTTGGGAAAATCTCGCTTTCTGGAATACCCCCCGGTCAGTGAACGCACCATCACAAAATAATAACAGGTCTATAATAAATCTGAGGTTCTTTCAGAGGAATCAGAACCAGTGTTCAGAGCTGTAGGAGAGTTTTTCGTTATTGGCTCTCAAAACCAGGATCGGTGCATCTGTAGAGCTAAACAGGAGATAAACATCTGGTTCTGTGTGTGGCTGTGATCACGGGACCATCTCACGGTGCATTTGATCTGTTTCAAAACCCAAAATTCTGTTTTCTGTCTTCCTGTTGAGAACTCTGAAGGTTGTATCTTTAGCTCTGACCTGCTGAGTGTTTCATGTCTCTTGACCACTCCCTGTATGTCCGTTTCCTCCCTGTCCGTCCAGAGGAGAGAGGGAGAGGTGAGACTCCGGCTTTTGCATCAGGCTTCCTTTTGGCTGCACGTTCAGAATTTCTGTTACACTTTTGACTAAAATGAACATTGGAGACATTTTAGTCCCCCCCTCACCCCCCATGCAGCTTATTGGCAGCGTTGGCTGCAGACCCGCTGACCTGACTGATAGCTTTAGTCAATCCTTCTCAGATTGCTGTGGGATAGATTTTTGTGGCATTGAACTCCACCCGGCTGAGTCACTGGGAAGATGAAACAAACACTCCTTCAGGTCTGCAGTGACAGTGAAGAAGCTGACATAGCTGCTTGTAGAGCAGCTCTAGTTCTTCCATCATAATATGAAAAAAAAAAGATCGAAAGTAAATGACATGATGTCACAGATTATTGTAAACAAAGAGAGGAAGCGTTCTGAAGTTTGGGCCCACTTCACTAAATGCGATGGGCTGTTGGGCGATGATGAAACCAGCGACAACAATCTGAGTGTGAAGCATCTTAATCTGCTCCAGCAGTTAAATAAACTGTGTAAGATAACGTTAGCTTGATAGTTTAGTTTTTGTTTACATAGCTAATGGTGCGTTCACTTTCTCCTCGGAAATTCCAACTTCCGAGTAGGAAAAATGAACAGTTTGAAAATGAATGTCAAAAGGAACGAAGATACAAAGTAAATTTAGTTCACAGCAAATATATTTGCTTCAGTGTAATTTGCAGTTTATAAAACTACAAGTACCCGCCATCACACAGTTTGTCCAGAGGGGAAAGGAGGGGAAAAGGGGTACATGAGCTGGGTTTAGTTTGTGGAACAACACAATGGTAAATGGTAAATGGCCTGTATTTGATGTAGCACCTTCTAGAGTCCTGGAGCCCCCCAAGGCGCTTTACAACACAATCAGTCATTCACCCATTCACACACACATTCACACACTGGTGGGGATGAGCTGCAATGTAGCCACAGCTTCCCTGGGGCGCACTGATAGAGGCGAGGCTGCCGTACACAGGTGCCTCCGGTCCCTCCAACCACCACCAGCAGGCAACAGGGGTTAAGTGTCTTGCCCAAGGACACAACGACAGTGACAGACTGAGCGGGGCTCGAACCTGCAACCTTCTCATTACGGGGCGAGCACTTAACTCCTGTGCTGTCGTCGTATTAAAATACAAACTGTTGTACAGTATTGACGTTCGCTTTAGTTTCATTTGTAGTTTATAATAAATGGTCTCCTCATCAGAGTTACTCCAGAGGGCATAGAAGAGGATTAGGAGTACGTGGAGCTGGGTTTGTTTTTGCATCATTTAGAAACAGTTGTTAAAGGTTTTCATAATGAAGATTTTTATACAACACCACGATGAAAAAATACAAACAGTTGTATGTTATTATCATGATATCTATCAAATAAGGTTACATATTGGAAAAATAATATATATGTAATTAAAAAAGTGATTTAAATGATTATTAAACACTCAAAAGTATAAAAAATTGGTACTGTTAAGTACCGGTATTGATTCGTAGGTACTGGGAATTGGCACAGTATCGATTCAAATATCAAAGGTAACCATCGCTACTGGTCACCGTCTGGTCGCCACAACAAACCAGGATGTTTATGCTGAATCCTTTCAGACAGCAGCAGTGTGGGTGGTCATTCCTAAACTGTTCAGTAATATTTCTGTAGATTAAAATTGTTTTTACTTCAAAATAAATCCAAGTAGGTCAGAATAAAATTGAAAGTTTTATACTTTTTTATTTTTCACAAAATACATTTTCACACTGTTTCTGATTCCCTGACAAGTTATATATAAGTATATGTAAATATATAAATAGATAGATATATATATATATAAATAAATAAAAAATACATATATGTATATCTATATATATATATATAGAGAGAGAGAGATATACATATATATAATTTTATATATATAGATAGATAGATAGATAGATAGATAGATAGATAGATATACATGTACATATATATACATATATATATAGATATAGATATATATGTATGTGTATATATATATATATATATATATATATATATATGTATAAAATGAAGTTCAAACAGAAATGATGCAGTAAAACATCTAGACGTTAGACTTGCTGAGTTCAGCAGGACTGAGGAGATGTCATCATCATAATAATAATAAAGCATCACTTTACAGGTTAGTGTTTCTAGACGCTCAGCAGCAGATTTTCTTGATAAAACCTGATAAAAGAGTAAAGCTGGTTTATTTCTGTGACTTGGTTTTTGTCAGCTGCTGTTTTGAAGCTTCTGCTTTCTGCACGAGTGAATGTGTGTCATTTTATTTCATCCTACTGATTTTTTATCCTGGTGGTTTCTGGTCCCATGGCAGCTCAGTTCTGTTGGTTGTTCTGTAGTTTCTTTATCCTATTGGGTATTTGATCCTGCTCAGTAACGCTCGTGTGTTTAACAACAGAAGAAATCTTCCTCTGATTGTGGGTTTTCCCTGCTTTCTGTCCTGCTGCTGTGTAAAGTGCTCGGTCCTCTTCAGAGGCTCATCTTGTTGGGTTTTATTCTGAACATCTGCAGGTTCTGGAGGCCTGGAGGAACCTGCTGGAGGCGGCGGAGGGCCGGCGGGTGAAGCTGGTGGACACCGGAGACAAGTTCCGCTTCTTCGGCATGGTGAGAGACCTGATGCTGTGGATGGAGGACGTGACCCGGCTCATCGAGGCCCAGGAGAAGCCGAGGTAGGACCTGCAGGATGGATTCATCCCTATGAATCCGCAGCTCTGAAGGCAGGATTAAAGTACAGGAATCAGTTATTCATTCACTGCAGCTGTAACGGTGATCAATAACATACTTGTTGCTCTGGATGAAAAGCAGTACTGTGCTTCACTTTTTATTGATCTGTCAAAGTCCTTTGACACTGTAGACCATGTTGTTTTAAAACATGCAATTTCATGGTTCACAGACTATTTGAAGGACAGAACTGAATGTGTTAAATGTGATGGGTTGTCCTCTGAATTTCTTTAGTGTCCACACAGGACTACCACAGGGTTCAGTCCTGGGACCCCTCTTGTTCAGTACGTATATCCATGACATGGGACAAAATGTGCCAGATGCTAATATGCACTTTTACGCTGATGACACAATTGTTTATTGTTGTGGAACATTCCCCTACCAAAGCTGTTGAATTCTTACAGAAAGCTTTTAATAAGGTCCAACAAACATTTCTGCAGTTAAAATTGGTCCTCAGCGCTGACAAGACTAAGCTAATGTTGTTTTCAAACTCTAAAAAGAGACATAAGTTTGCCCTCAGTGCCCACTCTTGAGGGAAATATCATAGAGGTGGTCCACACATACAAACACCTTAGTGTCTGGCTCGATGATTCCCTCTCCTTCAAACCCCATATAGATAATCTTAATAAACTCAAACTGGGTTTCTTTTTTCGAAGTGAACTGTATTTTTCTTTTTAGGCAAAGAAAAATGACTAGTTACTGTAACATGCCTGACTATTTTGGATTATGGAGACTTTTTATATATATGACGGCTTCAGCACAGTGTCTTGGTAAGATAGATGTGGTTTACCATACCTCGCTAAGATTTATTACTAACTGTAGACCACTGACCCATCATTGTGAATTGTGTTCTTGAGTAGGATGGCCTTCTTTGTCCACCAGGAGGTTGGGATATTGGTACACTTTCATTTATAAAGCAATGCTTGGATTACTTCCCAACTACATCTGCAACTTAATTTCATGGAGAAGTGTAACTTTTCACAGTCTGCGTACAAACGATCAGCTGTTACTCTGTGTTCCATGCGCTCTCACCGAACTGGGCAACGGTGCTTTCATTCGCTCTGCTCCTTCTGCATGGAACAGGCTGCAGGAAACTGGGAATTAACCGAGTTTATCTCCTTCAATACATTTAAAACCAAACTGAGAGCCCCTGAGACGGATGCCCTGCGTTGTAACTGCCTTCTGTAATTTTCTACTTTACATATCCGTGGAGCTGAAAAATGTGTAGCTGTAACTTTTGCTCCCTCTTGGCCAGGACTCCCATGAAAGTCCGCTTTTTAATCTCAATGGGACCTTCCTGGTTAAACAAAGAATAAATAAATAATACATTTGGGAATAATTTTAGCTCGTATGTGTGTGGAGCTGGACACGAGTGAGGGACTGCTGAGGGAGCACACCTTGCTAGAAAATACTCTGTGTGTGTTTTATGGGAGGGCCTTTAATGACGTCAGTGTTTACGTTTCTCACAGAGCATCACAGGAGTGTGTGGCAAGAAGCAGCGTATTTTGCCTATGCTTCGGTTGTTTAGCATGACTGGAGGATGATTCAGCGAAGCAGATGGATCATTCTTGTTGTGTGGTTGATAGTTCGGCCCGTGAGAGGCTTGATAAAAGATTTTATTGGAATTTCCTCAGCAAAAGACCATGAGGTACGAAAGAGCTAGGAAGCGACCTGGACTATACGAAGAAAGCCTGGATTTTAGTTGAGAGACTTATTTATTCCACGGTAAGTCCTTACGACTAAGTATTTGTGAATTGGAGAAGATGTTTTAAAAAACATTCATCTTTGTGTACTTTTAAATCCACTGAGTCGTGTCGTTTTCCCGTTCTGATTCAGGTGTTTCAACTCGCAGTCGTTAAAATAATAATTAAATAAATAAGGACACTGACTAATGAAGTCTGTGAGGATTTATCTGTTTTCTTTGGCCGTCACCAACAGGTGGCGTAAATAACGCTGCAGTTCTGCTCGTCGGGGCCGACTGCTGCTATTAGCACGACCACGGCTTTGTTTTCAGAAGAGATCGGCTCAACTTTCCTTAAAACTAAATAATCGTAGGCCTCCAGACGTTTGACGGCCACCAATTTTTCATGAGTAAGGGGTCCAAGGCTTTCTGTTGAATAGGAATAAATGTCTCCCCTGCAGGTTTGTGAAAAAACTCAACGAATCGGACCGATGTTTTCCATCATCCCAGAGCTCGTGTGGGTTTTAATAACTTTCATTTCCTCATCTTCTCTCTGAACCTCCTCCTGCCTTTAGACGTTGAAGTGTTTATAGATCGAGGATTTTGTCCGTAAACTCTTAAAAGTGTACGTGGCGTACTGATGGCAGGCCATTGTGTGTTTGTGTTGCCACCCAGCTTCTCGCGCATGCGTACAAAGATCCTCCAATAGCTGACACCAAAAACTGTCTGTTACCTTTACTCCTCAGAGACGTGTCATCAGTGGAGCTGCTGATGAACAACCATCAGGGCATCAAGGCAGAGATCGATGCCCGAAACGACAGCTTCACTTCCTGCATCGAGCTGGGGAAAGCCCTGCTGGCCCGGAAACACTACGCTTCAGAGGAGGTCTGACCCAAACGCATCAGTCTGAGCTCCTGAGAACATCAGGTTGATGTTCCTGACCTGCTGCATCATTATTGGAGAGAATGTTCTCATTTGTCCCCACAGATTAAAGAAAAGTTGTTACAGTTGACGGACAAGAGGAAAGAGATGATTGACAAGTGGGAGGACAGATGGGAGTGGCTCCGCCTGGGTGAGAAGTCCCTCCCACTGGTTTTATTCTTCTGATAATTCTGAGGTGACTAAGTGTGGTTGGACATCTGAATCTTCCTCAGTCCTGGAGGTGCACCAGTTCTCTCGGGACGCAGGCGTGGCCGAGGCGTGGCTGCTGGGACAGGAGCCCTACCTGTCCAGCAGGGAGATCGGGCAGAACGTGGACGAGGTGGAGAAGCTCATCAAGCGCCATGAGGCCTTCGAGAAGTCGGCCGCCACCTGGGAGGAGCGCTTTTCAGCACTGGAGAGGCTGACCACGGTGAGACGGGCAGGAACGCTCCAGGTCGGACCGAACGTTTGAGGTGCTGACTGTCTCTTTGTGTCCAGATGGAACTGCTGGAGGTCCGCAGAAGGCAGGAGGAAGAGGAGAAGAAGAGACAACCAGATGAGGCTCAGGCTGCTGATGCTGCAGCTCAGAGAAGGTGTTCATGAAGGCAGTGTTGTAAAGCCAGAGTGTGTGTTCAGTAAATGAGACAAAAGCTGAAACTGTTTTGTGTTTGTGTAGGGAGGGTGAGCCGGTGTCCCAGAACGGGCTGCAGTCTGAGCAGGAGTCTCCCAGGGTTAGTTACCGCTCACCAGCCTACCAGAAATACAGCAGCACGCTGCTGAGCCGCAGGGCCGCTGCGCCCTGAAACCCCCGTCCACACACACACACACACACACACACACACACACACACACACACACACACACACACACACACACACACACACACACACACACACACACACACACACACACCCTCCATACTGACTCACAACATCCTGACCTTGAAATGCCTCACATCAAAAACACCATCTACCCTCAGAGGCTTTTAATTTGAAATTGAACAGGATGTGATGTAACAACATAGGATGTCTTATTGTGGAGTTCACTGTCAACTCATTCCGTTTCTGCCTTGTAGCTCTTAGATCTGCAGTTATGACTTTAGTTTAAAGCTCCAGACCAGATTAATCGACTACCTATTCACTCGCCCAACATTCCTGTTTGTGATGCCTTCTGTTTGTTGACGTTGGTTAGAAATAGACCTAAGGGAGACGTGAAGACTGCTAAGAGGCGCTGATTGTTCCAGCAGTGTTGTGTTGGTGGAACTGGGACCAAACACAGCAGACACACGGAAACCGTTTACATCTTCTGTCTCTCCTGTCTCCCAGCTCAACCCTCCACTGGTCATCCCCCCTCAGCTCTTAATGTTTCTGCTCGTTTACGTCATCATTTACAAACTCACCCTGTGGAACATGAACACATGAACGCAGCTCCGGGTCGGCTCTCAGAGACATGAGCACTGACTTCAGATCAGCCACAGGTTTCCTTTAGTTTCACTCGTCAGCACCTAAACACCTCCTACTCTTCTCGTCTTAAATAAAAACTAGAAATCTTCTTAAGTCTGATTTTGTTTTACTAGAACAAAAGTCGCTCCGCGTCGTGTTGGTAAACATCCGTTTACGCTTGCACCGTTGCTTTTAGAGCTTATCTGAAAACCACACCTATCCTAGCTAGGTGTGTCTCCGTCTTCATCTCCACCATCACACATGTCGTGTCTCTAATTCAAAACTAACCCAACAATGTATTTTACAAGATTAAAATGTCTTTTATTTAACATTAGTTTTTACCATTTATTATTTAATACACCAGTTTAAATAATGACAAATGTATTTATTTAAAATGAATTAACTTTATGTGTCTGTAACTATTATATATCTGTCTATTTTACTTTAATGATCACACTTTCCACCTGCAGTAATTAGAACCCCCACTAGAGGACCCAAGACTGCAGAATTTTGTTGATGTAAAAAAAAGTCTGAAACACACACACACACACACACAATGTAAACACACACACACAATGTAAACACACACACACACACACACACACAATGTAAACACACACACAATGTAAACACACACAAACAATGTAAACACACACTCACACAATGTAAACACATATACAATGTAAACACACACAATGTAAACACACACAAACACACACAATGTAAACACATACAATGTAAACACACACAATGTAAACACACACAAACACACACAATGTAAACACACACAAACACACACAATGTAAACACACACAAACACACACAATGTAAACACACACACACAATGTAAACACACACAAACACACACAATGTAAACACACACAATGTAAACACACACAATGTAAACACACACAAACACACACAATGTAAACACACACAATGTAAACACACACAAACACACACAATGTAAACACACACAATGTAAACACACACAAACACACACAATGTAAACACACACAATGTAAACACACACACACAATGTAAACACACACACACACAATGTAAACACACACACACACAATGTAAACACACACTCACACAATGTAAACACATATACAATGTAAACACACACACACACAATGTAAACACACACACAATGTAAACACACACTCACACAGTGTAAACACACACACACACGCACACGCACACAATAGAGACTAGACTGCATTGATGGCAGGATATCCCAGAAAAGCCCTCTGCTGATGTACAACACTGACACACCAACAGAAACGTAGTAAAGGAATGTGTGTGTGTGTGTGTGTGTGTGCGTGTGTGTGTGTGTGTGTGTGTGTGTGTGTGTGTGTGTGTGTGTGTGTGTGTGTGTGTGTGTGTGTGTGTGTGTGCACTCATCCATGTATTATTTACACCAGTTTTTTGTGTTGCTGCAGCTCTTGGTTCATGTTGTTGTCATGTTTACTCCACTCATGCCTCTGTTGTCCTCGTGCACGTTGGTCCCTGACTAACACTCCTAATAAAACCACTTGGACCCATCCTGGTTTGTGTCCGTGTCTCACCTGTCTGTCTCTGTCGTACCACCAGCGGTTCATTCCTTCATCCCAGTTTTTAAAGTTTAGATTAAAGTTTGGAACCGCAGAAGGAACCACCAAGCTCGGGTCAGCAGTGTTACCGAGGAAATAATCTAATCCAGTTCCTGCATAGGTGTTCTGCTTCAGCCAGACTGGAAAAATAAATTAAACAATCTGGCAGGATTTTAAATCTTAAAGCTGCAAAATATAAAGTGATTGGCTTCAAGTGAATCAGTCTTACGCGTAGGAACAGGTCTCTTTAGTCTAACGGGTTTTAAACAAACCCACAGAAGGTCAGAGGCTCCACAGGGAGCCGTCATCAAATTCAATTCAAGTTTATTTATAAAACGCCAAATCACGACGAGTCGTCTCAAGGCACTTTGCATAAAATCCAGTAAAAGCTCCCCGGACCGGACCGGTCCAGTCCTCCCAGGATCGCTCCAGCGACTAATCGGGTCTGAAACACAACGTCCTCCATTCATCTGCCCCCATCCGAAGAGATCTGTCACCGGTAATGAGCATCAGCTTGGAGTGGTGTGGAAAATAAATCCAATCGCACTCTTCAATAATGACTTCCAAGCAATCTGATGGCTAATTGTTTGAGATTTTGTGTTTTCTTCATCTTTCCTCATCGTGTGTGGTGTGGAGTGGTGATTTAATTCTGCATGCTGTAAAATGTGTGATCTGTGCATGGCACGCCTCTAATCGCAGCTGGAATCCCAGAGTCCATGCTGACTAATGAAAAGATTACATCTGCTTGACCAGGCTGAAGTCCAGGAGGGGATGCTAGGGGTTAATCAGAAAAAAGTTATTTTGTCAACTAGCCAGTCATGGGCGGTTTGTTCTGAAGACGGGTAATAAACAAGCCAAAGGTCTGTGCCATGGAGGAGATCTAAATCTGTGTGTTTTATGTTTAAGGGAGATGATGAATTGCACGTTTATTCTAGGAGTGTAGAAAGAGACCGGCCCAGAGACGATTGTGACGTCTCCTCAGCCTGTGACCTGTCCCTGCTCTGCATGCTGCTGCTCTGATTTACAGCTTCTGCGTGTCTGACATGAAAGCCCTGCACCCGTAGTCCTCTGACTCCGCTTCTCTCTGATCACAGGACGCAGTTGATGGGGGCGATGTGGTCAACGGGGTGTCAGAGCCCAGTCCCTCGGGGTCTCCTGGAGCATCTCGCAAGAGCAAACCCAGTCAGGCAGCAACTCTGCCAGCTAAAACCCAACAGGATGCACCGACGTCTCAGCTGGAGGCCTTTCTGCACCGCAAACATGAGTGGGAGGGCCACAACAAGAAGGCCTCAAACAGGTGGGAACCACTCGATTTATCTCTCAATTTACGATAGAAACAAAGTCCTGCAGGTAAGGTTATTGAGGCGCCCAGAAGCAACAGTGTTACAGCATCCAAGGAAGCTTGGTTACTGATCACGTTGTGTCCTGGGTGGTCCTGGTGACCCGGTCCCAAAACAGCAACCTGTCCCTGAATGTGGAGAAAACAAGGAGATAGTGGGTGAATCAATCACAGACCTTTATCAGCATTTCCTAGATAGAGAGCCAGCATCACCGGCTTTCTTGACACGGACATCCCAGATGTCCTCACCTGGACCAGCAACATTTCTTTTTCATGGGGAGGCCGAGACGAGCCAGCCTCCCTCCTCCAGTCCTCACCACCTTCTACAGGGATGCGGTGGAGCATGTCCTGATGGTCTCCATCACTGTGTGGTTTGGTAACTGCAGCGTCGGAGACAAAAGACACTAACAAGTGGTGAGAACATGAGAGAAAGTCAAAGGGTGCCCCTTCCATCCACTCAGGACCTTAGTCTCACACACGGTGTGTGAAGTGCTTCTGCTGCAGTCAATGACCCCTCCCACCACTCTCATGGACGACTGCAGGGCGCTCAGACCTGAGCAACTGGGTTCTGTAAAGGCCGTCTGAGCTTTAAAAACCCACTCCAATGAAAACCATGTTTGTTCTGTTTTTAACATATTCTTGAGGCATTTTTTATGCTACAGGACACATTTAAAGAAATGTAAGCATTTCTGAGTATGTCTAAATATCTGAATCAGTAGCAGGTTCACAGCCTAAAACTTGACTGTGACGTCACAAACCCACTGGCTGGAGCACACTCCACTCTGCCGCCTCTGGTTGTGAGGCGTATATTCTGGTGTCAAATGGATAGCTCAACTAGTGTGTTACCCAACTTGGATGCAGAGGGCCAGAAGTAGGCTGGTTCATGAGACATTTTGGCTCAGTTGTCAGTTTTTTTTTTACAGTGATGCATGAATACAGCAATGAGACACCCAAATTTTAATTAAGCGTCCAAATGAGACACGCTGAAAGATGTCGGTTAAACTTCAGTTTTCAAACTATTTTCAAACATGACTGTCATCATTTTAATGGGCATCAGACGTCTGAATGTTTGCTGGGGTCATTTCTCTACGGGCCAGTAACGCCAGTGCTTCATGCCGTAGCTGCTGTTTGTTAACCTAACCTTATTTCAGCTGTGTTAAAGCGATGCATGCTATAATGTAGTGCAACGGGTTTTACATGGGCAGGTTTAGGCAGTTCTGAAGGCAAAAGGAGGGTCAACATGTTACTAGCAAGATGTCCCCAATAAAATGGCCAGTGAGTGCTTGAAGTGAAGCAGAGGTCACAGCAGGTTGCTACAGAACCTGGCTTGCCTCCATCCCCTGAACAGAAGGGCACCATGTGTGGTTCAGGACTTGGTCCTGAGGAGAGGGCGAAGCTGGGCTCCGAGTAGGTCGCACAGCCGCTGGATCTCCAAGTTTGCTTTACGCTGCGCAATTCTGGCGCGGCTCCAGGAAGGTTCTGCTACTGTGGAAGAATTAAAATGCCACAAATTGAGCACTTGAATTTTCAATTTGAGAGCAGAATTTCATGTCAAGAGACCAACTTTTTAATTTGAGAATAAGACTTTACATTATTGCTCTCATAAATTGTAATGCTTGCACTGAAAATGTCTGCTCTCTTTCAAACATACTCAGTTCTCCTTCAAATCTTTGTTTCTGCGCTCAGATTTAACCTTCTTACACTGGTTTTGTCTGCTCACGTGACAACTTTTTCTCTGCACGGATCAAAACTGCTCCCACAAGTCTGTCCCCTGCTCTCACGGATTTTTTCTGGTCTCTCTCAGAATTTGGAAGTATAATATCCTAGCAACCGCTCAGCCAATAGGACAACTGTATGGAACTGGGCTGTGACAAACGTCTTGGGGTTCACTCGATTTCACGTCTACATGTGACCACATGGCTTTGTTTACTATCAGTGTCTTTCAAGAAGTGATTTTCAGCATGGACAAGGCTTTAATCCTGGCAGGGGAGAGGCACAGCACACTCCTGCAGCCTGCACACCTGGATGGTTACGGCCCGACTCTCCACATAAACAAGAAAAACAGAAAATGATCAGTCATGTAAAAGGCTCATTGAAACATAAATGTGCCCCAGAAAATAAAAGAACTGTAAAGATGAATATAAATGTAAAGTTTAGGGCAGCAGTAACTCAACAGGTTGAGCGGGTTGTCCAGTAATTGTTCTTTATCTTTTCTTCTTCTGGTCGTTGAACGCCACATCCTTCAGCAGCTCTCCTGGTACTCTGACTCGGTTAAATTACACCATAATTCTGCAGAATAAAGTTTTTAATGTTAATGATGTTCGTGGAAACCCTCTGGCACTGATCAGTGACGTAACTCTGCCACATAAACAAGTGGACAAAGTCATCCACCTGCTCTGACTGCCGCTCTGAGCTCCACCTTCACTCCACCTGCTGCACGGCGCTGCTCTGTCCTCTCTGACTGGCCTGTGTGTGAGCGAGCTCGGTCCACATTTATAAACTAAATAGAAGAAATCTGGCCCAGCCTGGATTCGAACCCGGGTCCCCTGCATGTAAATCCTTACCTGAGTGTCCCTGTCCTTCGCTCCGCCCACAACCCAGAGGCAAATGTTTAATCAGCTACTGCCACGGTGTCAAAACTAAGTACTAGAAAATGGCACAGGTTTTGTGATTTTGTCTAAAAACATTGAGAACTATTTAAAACGGCTGCAAAAGATTATTAGAGTGGGTCTTAAAACACCAGCAGCCACATGCTCGACCTTCTGCCCCACCCCCACACAAATGATGGTGCTCTCACGCTTTAGACTGGCTCGTGTGCAACTGTCTGTTTCTGCTGCTGTTTTTATACATTGTTGTTTTTTTAAACACAAATCTGGAAAATAAAAACATTTTGTCACTATAGGCTTCTTGCAGTGCATGAGGAGTCCACACCAAACGTCCTTTTGTTCAACCGCTCTCTATGCAAACAGTGACTATAAAGTTTTTGAATCTTAAATCCTGATGAGTTGTCTTCTTGTTGCAGATCCTGGCACAACGTGTACTGTGTGATCAACAACCAGGAGATGGGTTTCTACAAGGATCAAAAGAGCGCCAGTCAGGGCATTCCTTACCACAGCGAGATCCCCGTCAGCCTGAAGGACGCCGTGTGTGAGGTGGCTGTGGATTACAAGAAGAAACGGCACGTCTTCAAGCTCAAGTAGGTGTCAGGATGAAGGAACGCAGATTTTTGAGCCGATTCTCGCCTTCTGACAACTTTAAGAATGTGTCTCATTACTGTAACGGCTCTAAAGCTTGGTTTATGCTTGACGCATTCACTTTCCGCTTGGTGATGCGGCTCGCGGATGGAACGCGCTTCACAACTCGCAGCGTTTATGGTTCGTGCGGCTTGTCTCTGCGGTGAGCCAATATTCTCCCAAACTGAACGGGGCAGCATGGAGCTCTACGGCATGCATCCAACACTACACCATAGTAGAAGTAGAAATTACTGTTTACAACATGGCATTCCAGCATTTTTAACAGCATCCTCATCTTTTCCGACAGTGCGAGCTATTTCTCTCCAAGAATTATTAACAACATGTTGATCACGGTGATCACTGAGAGCTGAATCATACAAATGTCTGTATTTACCAACCTCTGCCATACTAGTTCTTGCCGGTCCGCCATGTTTTTCCACGTCCGACCGTCCGCGTGGTTAGAAATTTTCCTAGGTGCACGTTGCGGAAATCTTGGGCTGTGCGGAGACGCAGTGGAGGGGCGTGGTTGTTAAAATTACGCAATTTCGCCGCGTGGAGCCGTGCGGACCTCGCGGACGCGTCAAGCATAAACCAACTTTAAAGATAATCTGATCAGATATTCCTGCCATGTGTGGTGTGTTATAAGTTTTTCTCTGCTCACGTCAGGACCTCTCTGATCATAATTCAGACATATTCATCAAGTTTGACTGTCTTGGTCCGGAGCTGCCTGTAGATTGTGACCTGTAGCCAATCAGAAAGTGAGGTGGCAGAATCACCTTCCTCCTCCGCCTTTTTTGTTTACTCCAAAGTCATGTTTGATCTCAAGAGGTTTTGTGAGATTTCCTATAACATATAATCTTTCTGTGTGAACCTGGCCAAACTCCAGCTTCTCTGAGATAAAATCACTCCGTCTTAGAGGAAGGTTTGATTTGTCTCTACCCACGGAACAGAAAAGCATTTCTGAGATTCCTCGATCGTCTGTTGTGGGGCATTTGTTAACATACAAATGTCGTCTACGTTCAAAGAGACTGGTTTGGACCCAGAATCGACCCCTGAGGAACGCCTCAAATAAAATGATTTGTGTTTGCTTCACACATGCTTTGCTGTCTCTGAAGGAGTCATAACCAGCTCTCTAATCTCATGTCTTTAGTGTATTAACTAGAATATGATGATCAGCAGAGCAGAAACTTCCTGTAACCACTGACTCGTGTGATTTGACCTCCACAGGGTCACTGATGGGAATGAGTATCTGTTCCAAGCCAAAGATGATGTGAGTTTTAACAGTTTTTTACGATAACTTACTGGATTACTAACTAAAGCTGAAGTTGGGCTTCGATTAAATCTGAGTTCATTCCTCAGGAGGAGATGAACACCTGGATCTCGACCATCTCTGCCGCTGTTGCAGGGGTTGAGAAGTCAGAGGTCACCCCCAGCAGCCACAGCACGCCCGCCCCCGCTGCTCGCGCCCAGACGCTGCCGGCCTCCGTCGCTACGACGACTGCTGCAGAGTCAAGCCCTGGCAAACGAGAGAAAGACAAGGAGAAGCGCTTCAGTCTGTTCAGCAAGAAGAAATAAATGCTCGTCTTTTCCTCTTTCCTCCAGTGCTGTTTGGGGTCGCTCCTCATGATCGAAGTTTGGTTCGATGTTTGAAGATGTCAGTCGACCAAAGTACCGATTTAATCTGCTCATAGCAACTGATGGTTACAAAGAATTAACAGAGTAACCGCTCAGAATGTAGTCGCATTTATTTAAAATCTGTAGTCCTAACAAACAGAACCCCCCCAATAAAAGCAGTCCTAATCCCGAGTTTTAACAGATGTTTCCTCCAGCTGTCACACGGTTGCTATGTCAGATCAGATCCCAAACAGCCTCCTTTCCTCCTCTTCTGTCCTTCCTCCCTCTCCTCTTCCTCTCAAAGTGTGACTCCAGCATGCAAGCTCCGAGCCAAACTCTCCACTCTGTGCCTATCAACCGTCCGGTCGGCTCAGAGCTTCGGATCAGCTACAACACACCACCTGAGACCTCGGTTCTGTTCCTGTAAGATACGGAGTGGGAAACTTTAAAGGGACGCTTCGTGCAGCTGCAGTCGTACAGATCAAACCTGAACGCCACCGTAGAGGAGCTCCCAGATAATCCCACCTTATTCTGTCCTTGCTCTCGTTGTCTTGGCTTTTCTGCCTTTTTGTGGGTCGTGTTTACGCTCCCCAGCCTTCTGGTTTTGTTTTGGGAAAGTTGTCGGTGATTCCCGTTTGGGTCCATTCTCTGTTCCTTTAATATTTGTATGTTGTTTTTTTGTTTTGTTTTGTTTTTTTGCGAGGCCTTGTCTTTGCAAGATGCCGTGTATCCCTCTGTAGTGGGAAAACTGAGACCACAGCAGGGTAATCCTCTGAATCTTCTGTAGTCACACACTTGTCTTGTGGAAGTGCGAAAGTGTAAAGTGAGAAGTTTTGTGCACTGATTAATCCTGTTTTTCTCTTGGTTCATTTAGTGCAATAAACCAGTGAAAAGCGAACAATCATGGTAATGTTCGGCTCAGCTCCGGGGCTGTCTAATTCCTGCAGCACAGTGTGAGCAGAAACAGGAAGTAGTTGTGATTTGGAGTGTTACCCTGCTGTGTTTTGAACTGTATGTATAACTTGTGTATAACAAACTGTTTAAAATAAACCTGTGTTTATTTCCTCTGTAACTGCTACTAATAACCAGACGAGTGATAAGCTTCTTTCTTTCTGTGAAAACTCGCAACAAATCTGAATGAAGGAGCCGTGGAGTTTTAACTCCATGGGAGGATTCCAGTGGCGTGTCCAGCTCTTTTAAAATGGGGTGGCCCAGGTGAGGCACAACTTTGTGCATGGGTGGCACCAATGGTTATGCTTTTTTTGTTTTACCCCCAAGACTTTTGTGGACAATGAAACGCCGATTTAAAGGTAAATTAGTGTGGTGGCACCTGGGTTGGCCAATCAGATTCCAAGGGTGGCATGTGCTACCCCAGGCCACTCCCTGGACACGCCCCTGGAGGATTCTCAGCTGAAACTTTTAGGAATGTTTGATGAATTTTCCAACAATCAGTGAGGTTTCTTTTCTACTTTCTTTGTATTTCTGAAACATTAACCTCAACCCATTAGTTACTTGGAAGGTGTTTAGTTGTGTGCTACACATTTAAGTCGATTCTAAGGTATATTTAGCCCGAGGAGCTTGAAGGCGTAGATGTTCTTTAAAAGCAGACATAACTTTAGGCATTGCTGTTAAGTTTGATTCTAAAAAGCTTTTTCTGGAAGTGTTGCTGAATTATGGTCGCTTGCTTGTTGGCTTCAGCTCTCCGTTGTTGGGATTTCAGAGTTCTGCCGCTGATGAATTTGCAGTGAAATCTGTCGTGTGGATGCTTTTTGTGTACGGAAGTTCATTTATGACAAAATTCACCAAATGATTTAGGTTTTCATAAAAATGATTTGAAAACTACAAAGAACAATAACAGATGCTGGGAAAGATTTTCTTTACCTTTTGGATGATTTTGTTCTTAAGAAGAACAAGCACAGCTATCCTCTCCCAGTGGGGGGGGGGGGGGGGGGGGGGGTGCTGGTGAGAAGAAATAATGGTTTGGGATTATTTTGCACTAGTTCGGATACCTGAAGCCATCTGGGTTAGTTTGAGACGCAATAAAGATTAACATCCATGAATCTGGTTTATTTCCACATTCATTGTTTCACCTGTAAAGCTGTACCCACTTAGTAATCCATTTAGGTGTCTTTAGGTTTAATAATACCCTCAATAATAAAACAGAACTAACAAATTGGTTTACTTTGACTATAACTAAAAACAAAGCAGCAAATTCTGACTCCTTTCAGTATTTGGTCATTCAGATTTTAATATTTTGTAGCATCCTTTATCTTTTCAGAGCTACAAAGTAATGTTAAATGTGGCCATGTTTTCACCGCCAGAGGTCTTCAGTAATCATACTGATCAAAGGTAAAGTCTTGAGTTTTGTTCTTGTGATTTTGTCACTTATGAGCTTCCGTAGCTTCTAGAGAAAAGTGGATGTAAAACTGGAAGAATGAGCCTGAACATGTGAAAGGTTTAAAAATGGTCCCCGGCCAATTGAATTGGGTGGGTGTGGGGGGCTTACACCTCTGATAAAGTGTTCATGGGGGTGATGGTGTTGACCCTGACTGACTTTTCTTTTTTCTTTTTTTGATGCTACAATCTTTGGCCATTTGATAAATACAGTGTTCATTCCTCAGTCACTGTAACCATAGTAACAATATATTTCATCTTATCGCACAAACAATGATGCCACGATGGGGGCGGGTTTGGGTGGGGGTATGTAGGTGGACCGGGGCTCTCTGTTAGTAGGAACTGCACCCGTAGAATTCTCCCCATCTCTGTTAAAACAAAGCCATTAAAATGCTTTTAAAATAGAGACACAACTTTGTTTGATTCATCTGGAGTTTGGTGTTCAGAGAAATAAAAGGAAACCCAAGAGCTTCATGTCCAGCTCCATAGGCATCAAGTCGAGGGTGGAAGGTTTCTGAAGACACCGGTTCTTTCACTATTTGAGCTAAATGAATCCTGGCATTGTCATCTTGGAATATGCCCGTGCCATCAGGGAAGATGGAAAAACCTGGTCATTCAGTGAATTCAGCTGACCTCATTCATGGAGCACATCCTGTTGCTGAACCTAGACCTGACCAACTGCAGCAACCCCAGATCATTGCACTGCCCCCACAGGCGTGTACAGTAGGCACTAGGCATGATGGGTGTGTAGTGGTCACACTTTATAGCGTGACGACTGCAAATTAATTATGACCAACAAGATGTGATGATTCCATATAAATATGAAATATCAATCTGATTGATCTTTAAATGTTTAATCAGAAGAGTCTAGGGTTCTTTGCTTGTCCAAGGACCATAAACACACTTTGTATTAATTCAGACTTAGTCAGGTATATAGTTAAAAGGGAATTTAATTATTTTCTAAACTAACGATATATGACAAGATATGAATGATGAGATGTGATGGAGTGGAGATGTGGTGATGGAATATGATGTGTGAGGTGGTGTGATGCAAGTTAGATGCTTATCAGAACCTTTGTGTCTGAAAGAAATTGTGAAATCTGAGTGTAAAACAATTTGCTGTCTGCTATAAACTAGAGAGTTGATTATTAATAAAACGGCATCAGATGCAATCTGTTGTGTCTACAAACCCTGGCGCAGACCCCCAGCAGATCCGGACTGTCAGAAGTCAGGTGGACTTCATGGCACCTGAAGTCAGTAGATTAACTTCGATACGACCCGTCCAGCCTTGAGATGTCTCCAGGTCACAACAGTAGCTGGAATGCTTGTCTGCGTCCAAAGTGAATATGGCTCTTAAGGAGCCGTCTGGCTGTGTCAGCTTGCAGCGTGCAAACAGGTTGACTGTTTGTCAAAAGAGATGTTTCAAAAGAGGCTTCTTTCCCGATTTGGCCAAATCGGGGTTCCGCTGGAAACTGCATTAATCGGGAAGTAAATCCTGTTTTAATAAACCACAATATTATGATTTCCGGCCATTCTGGCAAATCAGAATGTGCCATGTCTGGAAGGCTTTACCAAAACATCCCTCAGAAAGCCACTCATTCCTTCAGATACAAGCTTCTTAATTCACATCTGAGTATGAGCATAATCAACATTCACGAAAGAACGCAGTTCGTTCACAGGGGAAGATGTTTTACGCAAAATGTTGCTATGAGTGTTGAGCACTCCCATTTTATGGCGTTCAGACACGCCCAGTTGTGTTAACGCACGCCGTTGTTGCAATACTTGTTTACGTAGGGACGAATATTCTCTGTGAAGCTCATCAATGTGGTGTCGAACTGTGTTGATCACGACCGAGTGATAAGAACCCGAAATTCAAAAAAGAGCCAATTGTATTAGCCAATGGAAGAACTCTTGCAGGAAACGCCTCACTCTAACGTGGGTACCTGAAAGATCATTATTTGAAACCGTGAGTTTAAAATTTCAATTTAAATTCACTCAAGCCATTTCCAGGTCAAATTTAACAAAAATCTTTTGTGCGAACAGGCGGTAGTCATTAACAGGCCTGGGCTCTCTCGGAGCATGATACCCGAAGAAGGCCCAGGTTTGTACAGTTGTGTTAGGGGAGGCTGTGTAGGAAGCTTAGCCGCCTTCGACATCAGACAGACACATGCAGCTAGCACAAGACACTTTGTCAGTCTCAGAAACTGAAACCAAGAACACTTTAGATTGTAGACTGGGGCAGGCGCGGCCTTACAAGGGTTCGGTGCAGGTGAGTGCTCTGGAGGGCCCTCGGTTGACGCGCAGGTGCTGTCAGAGAGATCAGGGTCAGCCAGTAGTGGTACAGGGTGACATTCAACCCCCCCCCCCTTCGGTAGGTGTGCCACCCATCCCAGGACTAGAGGTCACCAAGCCAACTGTAGTGGTGTAGGATCAGTGATGTCATTAGCCCCCCTTTTGGCAGGTGGCATCCCCACCGCAGGGCAGGGGCGCAGATAGGATTTTCAAACGGGGGGGGGGGGGGGGGGGGGAATGACAAAGTTCCATTGTACCCTCCCCCAAACACATACACACACACGTACACATACACAAGCAATTGCAAGCGCCTTAACTAGAGCTCAGTCAGTTTGTGTAATTTCATCCAATGGTTTACAAAAAAAACGAACACTTTTATATACGTGTTTGAAGCCATTATGCAATGGAACGCTGGCAACAAAGCTCTGCCTGATTAACACTATTCAAGTCAGTCATTTGTTATTCTCCCAATCAATTACTAACCAAAACGTCATGCTTTATGCAAAAGATGTTTCATTTAAAGGAGCATGGGGCAGGAATTGTCCAAAAACAAGAAGTAAATAGGATACATGTTCATTCTTGTGAAGCTTATGGGTGATGAAGCATTTTAAACTAAAAAGAATGATGAAACCAGTTTATCATTCCATTTTGTTAATCAGGCTGTGTGCTGCAAAATGCAAAACATTTCTGATCCAAATTTCCCACGCTGTTTTACGGATGTGACGTTAATTGACGCTTCAAGCGCGTTCTCGACAAGATTCAAACCCGGATAAACATTTGGAAGCTTGCTAGGTGGCGGTAATGTGTCTTTCACTACTAGCCACGTTAAAACCCCAAACAGAAGAGGAAGAACCCTGGAAATGGATTCTACAACTAGCAAATGACCAAGCGCAACTCAAAGCCCACTAAAGTGGCACAAAGAAGAAGGTTTTATCAGCGGCATCTCGAGAGTCAAAAAGAAAATATAAAAGTCGGTCAGGGACCCTTTTGTAGCACAGCAATAACGTTAGGAAAAGATATTCCAATGGGGTTCTGTTACACAAACCCCACGAATAACATTATCTACTGAAGTAACAGTCCTGCTTAGAGGTTGGACTGTAGATCAAATATGACATAATTCTAAAGACTCATCTTTGGTTTGGAAAATGTCCGTTCTCTTCTGTGGTACATAGAAACTGAAGCGTGATCAGAGCTAAAATGCTACCGCACGCTAGCTCTCTCCGGCTGATCGGTGACGTCATATAATCAAATCAAGCTCTGTTTACTTTTCTCGTCAGAATAAACGGAGCATCCATTTATCTCCAAACAAAGCGGTGTGTCGTCCACAAAACGTAGAAGTGATCTGATTACTCCTTAGTTGCTTTTAGCTTTTTCAAACTGATCAGGAAGCCATATGCTAAACACCGTTAGCTTAGATAAGTTTCTTGTGCATCTGCACAAAGATTTGTTAGATTACCTAAATCAGTATTATCTAAATCCATAGGTTTTATTTTCTTTTCTTAAATTGTGGAGATACAGCTCTCATATGTTTACCTACTCGTTACTGAAACCTACATCAGACATAAGGAGATCAGGTAATACAACACTTACCTGGTCACTAGAAAATGAGCCATGTCCGCATCCTTTTCAGGCCCAAATTGAGTTGAACCAGCCTCATTCTTCCAGAGCGTACCCAATAGATATTCGGGTCCCTGACCGACTTTTATATTTTCTTTTTGACTCTCGAGATGCCGCTGATAAAACCTTCTTCTTTGTGCCACTTTAGTAGGCTTTGAGTTGCGCTTGGTCGTTTGCTAGTTGTAGAATCCATTTCCAGGGTTATTCCTCTTCTGTTTGGGGTTTTAACGTGGCTAGTAGTGAAAGACGCGTTACCGCCACCTAGCAAGCTTCCAAATGTTTTTCCGGGTTTGAACCTTGTCGAGAACGCGCTTGAAGCGTCAATTAACGTCATATCCGTAAAACAGCGCGGGAAATTTGGATCAGAAATGTTTTGCATTTTGCAGCACACAGCCTGATTAACAAAATGGAATGATAAACTGGTTTCATCATTCTTTTTAGTTTAAAATGCTTCATCACCCATAAGCTTCACAAGAATGAACATGTATCCTATTTACTTCTTGTTTTTGGACAATTCCTGCCCCATGCTCCTTTAAAATCCTTGTTTGATTGATTTCATGTCATAGTCTAAATGTCAGAGATGTTGAATTTGTGGTTTTCATCATTTGTAAACCATAATTATCAGAATTATAACAAATAAAGGATGAAACACCAGGTGTTAGAAAGCCCACTGTAACATTAGTAATTTACATTTAATTAAGGACCGTAAGACAAAATTTCATATCATTTCTAACCTGAGGATGGGATAAGATTAACCAGCATCTCACCTGTTGGGTGAATTGCTGGTCAAGGAGGAGACCCCTAGAGACGTAGAACTCGTTTGCATTCCTCGCAGTCGAACAGAAACATCCATAAAAACCAAGAGCTGGTGATAAACACATTTCTCTAGTACCTTACTCAAGAATGGAAGTTTAGAAATGGGCCTGTAATTTGCAGGCAGCGAAGTATCCAGTACAGGTTTTTTGAGCCGAGGTTGAACAACTGCCTTTTTTTAAATCGTCAGGGACTAAGCCAGATCTTAGGCTCATGTTAATTATGTGCAATATTAGAGGGGCGACTACTGGAAAGACTTCTTTAAAGAGGCACATAGGCATCACGTCATCTGGCGAGTCGCTCGCCTCAGCCTCCCCAACGATCTTGATCAAGTAATCTAAACTAATTGGTTGAAATGCTACCAAACCTCTGATAGTTGTCACAGAAGGGCTGCATTCCAGTGCCCTAGACATGGTAGCCCGAAGCACAGCTACTTTGTCAAGGAACTCATCACACATTTTAGCTGAAGCCTGCACCACATGGTGATCATTCACTTTCAAAACTGAGTTAATTGCGGTATAAAGTACTCTGGGGTAATTTGAGTTTAAGGAAATGAGATTGGAATATTATGCAAATTTTGCAGATCTAACTGCATCTTGGTAAGATTTCCAACCATAAATTTACCGTACGCTTTCCCCTCCTGGGTCTTAATGGCGCAACAGTGTTAAGGATAGCCTCACATGTCTCATTAAAGCAAGTAAGCAATCTATCCAGTGAGGACTCGTCTGATAAATCAAAGAAGGCTTGTTCAAACAGCGAAGTGAAATGAGTTGCAGTGTCAGAGTTCACATTAGATTGGTCATTGTGGGCCAGTTGAATGGCCCCCAAGGTCTCCCGATCTTAGACCATTATCTTTGGGGTCATCTGAAGGCAATTGTCTATGGTGTGAAGATATGAGATGTGGAGCACCTGAAACTACAGATACTGGAAGCCTGTGCTGGCATTTCTCCTGCGGTGTTGCTATCAATGTGTGAAGAGTGGGAGAAGAGGGTTGCATTTACAATCCAACACAATGGGCTGAACACATTTGATAAGTGGTCAGAAACTTGTAAATAACTCATGATAGAATAAAGTTACGTTAAAACCAAGCACACCATTGTTTTCTTGTGAAATTATCAATAAGTTTGTTGTCACATGACCCTTTTCCTATTGAAAAGATAAAAGTTGGATCCAAGGTGGCCAACTTCAAAATGGCCACCATGGTCACCACCCATAGATATGTATATAAACACTAGATGGCGATAGCGGGAGTCGAGGGCGTAGCTAAACGGCGGCCATCTTACCTCAGACAACAGATCCCTCCGCTCTCAATGGTAGCAGCTGAAAGGTGAGTGATCAGCTTAAACAAAAACACCCTTAACTCGATGCAATATTAACGGATTTACAAGTGGTTTGCCTTGTTACAACCCTTAGAACACATGGGCTTGAGACAACATACTTGCACATGTTGAAAGTAATGCTTTTGCTTTTGAAAGTGACTTAATTGTGAACCATGTGTCCCGCCTAGGCTATCTGCATGTTATTCAGGTTGAGACCACAATCGATATTTTATGTGGTTCTACAAAACCAATAACGACTTTACGACAGCTCAATTGTTGTGTAAATGGCTGTGTTTGTGGATGTTTTCGTGTTTATTAGCTGTCTAACTTGGCTTAGAGATGATGAGGCTAGAGTGGGAGCACTGCTTAGCAAAACAAAGTTGACTATTTACCTCAGTGGGAGTCGCTCGTTTTATTTCATATAAATTAATGCTAAATTGCCCGTGATTTTTAAGCGTCTTGATTTGTTACACAAAACTTCAATTGGGATATATTCAAACAGGATATTTCTGGATTTATGTTAACAAAAATACACTTTTATTAATTGTTAAGCTTGAGGGTCAACATGCCTGACTTTCGTGCAGCCTACAGATGCTCGAATCGCCGATGTGACAAACTGAGACAATGTGGGATCACCTTTCATCTGTAACTGTTGCAAAGAAAACCTGTACTTGTACATTATTCAGTCTGTTAATTGTTTTTATGTAAATAAAATGATTAGAAACTGTTGTTCCATTGCTGCTGCTACCTTCTTCTATACATTGTTTATCTGGTTTTATAAATGTTGAAAAGCTCCTTCACAAGATCAATCCATTATCCATCTATCTTATTTATTACTGTTTTATTTATTAACCTAATCTATCTTTTGATTATTTTCTTACATTTTTCAGAAAGCATTTCCAAAGAGCTTATAATTAATAAATGAAAGTCAATAAGAAAACAAAAGTGAAGAAACAGTGAAAATACAAAATAATTTGCTGGGTGAAATTTTGCTGCTGGCGGGCCGGTTCTGGCTGACAGATGTGATTTGGGTGTTGGTTGTCTTATTTGTTGGGGTGCACATTTTGTATCTGTGTTCTGTTTGTGTGGGCTTTACCTCAAAAGAACCTTGAAATCTCATCTCTACACAAATCTTATTTCACAAACCAGGAATATATATGTATATAGATAGATAAACCTATATAATATAATAATAGGCTATGTATAGTTTAAGTTACTGTAGCTTACAATTAAATGTGTTATCTATGAAAGATTAAATGCTTTGTGGAGTGAAATAACAGGACTTTCTGGGGCAAACCCATCCTATTTCATAGACACATCGCTGGTGTTTATAACAAATCAAACCTTCTGAAAATCGGTTGAAAATTGAGCAAGTTAGAGTTATTTAAATAGTACATGCACCATACACCCCAATGTCAAGAAAGGGGGCAGCTTTTTCTTCTTCAGCCTTCAGAGAGTACAGACGCTTTTTTCTCAGCTCCCTTATCGGCTTCCCCAAGGCTCTTGTCCTGTCTGCCTACAGAGCACTTCTCTGCATTTCTCCTGAAACCACTACTCTCTTTTTGGAAATATGGACTTAATTAATTGGTCATTCAACGTGATTGACAAAATTTTCTCTACGATGAGAACGGAGAAGGGGGCTCCCACCTGTCCCGAGGGGACATTCGCATCGGGATATGCACTCGATTCTTGGGAGGTCTGGCGAATCGTGTGCCTCTCTCAGCTCTCCATCGAGGACGTGGAAGATTTGTGGATATTCGGCCTGATGATCATTGGATTTCTTCTGATTGGAGTGGGAGGATATCTGGTTTTCTGGAAATTTGGGAAGACGGGAGCGATTGGAGTGCGACCCGTACCCACGGAATGTGCCGCTCGTGCGGTGACCTCACAGACTGGGACGTTACTCGAGGTGAACCGTAAGCTGGACAATGTCCTTGCGGCGTTGCTTGTGTTAGTGCGCAAGATGGATTTGATCTCGGAGAGGGTCGCCGGACGATGCGGGGATGTGGAATGTAAAATTGGCTTCACTGGTGGACATGAATGACCACTTAGAGACTACAAGACGGAGGGGAAGATTATCTCTGTCTACCCTAAACAAAGTTATGTTTATCCTTATCTGACGCCATAGCAGCCTCTCAAGGCTGCCTCAACACACCCCCACAAAAGGAGGAATGCCGACAGATGCTGTGTCCCGACCTTCACCCTCTCCCTTCAGGCTATATCTGCAGGGACCTCAATGTGCTCTCTGTTCCTTATCTCTCCCTCCCACCTGTTGTTCTGCAGCTGGTCGATGCGCCGCAGTGGCAGCTCCCATTGGAGGCTTCAGGATCCCGCCCACCCCCACCTCCCCATTGGACTCTGATGTTGTACACGTGCTGTCTGTGCTTCCATGTCGGGTGTTTTTTTTTTTTTTTGCATTGGAGTGCTACACCCTGCTGGTGTAACCCTGTTAATGCCTTTTTTTCCCCTCCCTGAACTTTCCTCATGTAACACCCTTTTCATCTAACTATTAAGGTAGCGCGACTCATGTTGCGAATGACCGCAGTCACCAATTCTTGTTATGTGTCTTACCCACGTATGTCTGATCTTTGAATTGTGTGTGCTGAAACGGAATTTCATTTCTCTGTATGTCCTGCACATGTGGAGAATATGACAATAAATGACTCTTGACTCTCTTGACTCTTGAGCTGTATGAGATAAAATGGCCGCCGCATTCCTACGTCGCATCCCATGGGCGAACAGCGGGGATGAGGCATCTAATGTTTAGATATACATATCTATGGTCACCATCCATCTTGAAAAATTTGCCCCCTCAGATATACCAACATGCCACAAACAGGACATTAATATCACCAACCATTCCCATTTTATTAAGGTGTATCCATATAAATGGCCCACCCTGTAGTATAATATGGCCTTGGGTAGCAAAAACACACTGTATTTATCTTTTTACTTCTCCAGTCAAGAGTGAATAAACATTCATATTTTTTAGAGTTTCCACGAGGTATTCTTCAATCTGCTCTGTGTCTGCCCGCTCGATATCTTTGTTTTTGAGGGCGCAATGGCAGTGCTGTTGATAAAAGCGGCATCCTGACCAATCACAAGCTTGCGTTCTCTGTCTCATTAAGCCCAATTTATATGTCTGCATCATGACGTACACACCCAATGCCATTATGGAGATAGGCTGACGGAGATATGCCTCAAATTTGAACTATTGAATCTGAACTTGACATAGAATGGCCTTCAAGGACCAGGTCTGCTCCCCCGTTAATGACCAAAATTACAGGCACTTTCTGCGGGTGCTGTGCGACGTGAGAGGGAGGGGCTTGGATGAAGCAGAGGAACAGCAGAGAGGCAAAAATGACCGATGTTGAGTGATGTGTGTTAACTCTGACAATGTGGGCTCTAATGGTTACTTGTTCCAATTTTATCTCTGCATCACATTTGAAAACAGCATGAGACCAAAGTGCTAAACAGGGAGTACAACAAAACACAAGACTAAAATAAGAGTCACAATCAAATCATCATTCAAGACATGCGGCCAAGTACAAAACTCCATTCATCATTAATAAAAAATAAACCTGGAAGAACCTACAAACTGAACGACAGCTGGAAAACGAGACCAAGAAACATTTAAAAATTTCAGACAGATTCCACAGACATGGCAGTAAAGTCCTTTCATTTACATCGTTGTTAAAATTATTCACATGTAGAGGTAAATAATATCATCTGAAGAAAATATGGAAATGGAACAAATGTGAGACTGAATGTTTTCTTAGCACTGAGGAAGTTTTAATCTCAGTTTTGGACAAGTTTGTGAAAGTATGTTAGAACCAAACTAAATTTTATTAATTATATTAATATTCATTTTATTAATTGATTAAAATACAACTTTGACGGATCTTCTCCCTTTTTGAGCCTCATTCTGTTTTCCACCCTGATCAACATCAGACCTTCTCCTCCCGTCGCTCTTCTTCTTTTCTTGTTTATTTACAGTAACGATCATAGTTCAGTTTGGCTCCCAGCTTCGTTCCTCCCAAATGTTTGGTGAAAGCCTCGTCCATCTCCTGACTCTGTTCTGGAGTAAAGTGGTTCTTCCAGTCTCCGACTTCACCTGCACAGAAACATAAACCAGCCTTTCACTTTGATTCTGAAATGACTTTCTCTAATTAATAGAAACTAATCTGGTTGAGTTTCTGTTAATCAAAGCTACAAACTGTATATATATTACATATTAACTTAAAATGGTCTGCCTCTCTCTCTCTCTCTCTCTCTCTCTCTCTCTCTCTCTCTCTCTCTCTCTCTCTCTCTCTCTCTCTCTCTCTCTCACACACACACACACACACACACACACACACACACACACACACACACACACACACACACAGAAACACAATGTCCAAGACCAGTGTCATGCCAAGAGCACACAAAGTCCATATTTTAGATTTTATAAACGTGCTAGAGAAAAATATAGCTGTTTAAAGAATAAAATAATTAATGATTCAATAGAATTTCAGTAAATGAAAATAAAATGAAAAATAACAATTAAGCCATGCTAAGAAGGAAAATCTTGAGCCTCTGTAAAACCACCAACACTTTCTGCAGCTTTTGGTTTCCATTCCAGTAATACGCTGTGTAAGGAAATAATACTTCTTTTATTAATGAACAATCTTGAAAAAGCAAGTTTAACACAACTAAAGGGTCCAACAAGAGCTTTAAAGTAGGGAAGAGCGAGTACACCACTATCTGTATATGTATCTGTATTAGGGTTGTCACAATACTAAAATTTCAAACTCGATTCGATACTTGAAAAAAAAACTCGATACTCGATTTCGATACTATTTAAAAACACCCATTTATCGAACAAGTTTATTCAAAAAATAACATTCCTCAATTTATATTGCAAAAATGAAATGTTAAGAATTAAGTGTATAAAGTGCTTAAACCTTTCAAGTATCAGCATTTTTTTAAACGTGCATACAAAAACTGGCGAAAGTTAACACTTTAAATCATGAATTGTCTCACTATATATACACTATTTGCAGAGTGATGTTTTGCTGCTTAAACTCTGTTTAAGGTGCATTGTTGTCATAAGATGTAATGCCATGTGTTTTGTTCTGTAGTTTTGAACAACTCTGTTGGTCAATAAAGGGAGAAAACAAATTTCTCCACAGTAGGACAAAGGTACATCTACCGTAATCTTAATAAAAACAGATTGGCGCACGGCAGTGACGTCATTAAAAGCACCGGTTAGATTAGCCGCGGCTAGTCTGTTCACGCCTAGAAATCCCAGACCCGCTCCAAACGAGCAGGGGAATCACGTTAATGATTCCTAACAAAACCTTTTGACATCGAGATGTTTTGGTGCAGATAATGTCTTATTTCGAGGCTGCACCATGGGTGCCCGTCTGCACCCGTTATATGGATAGACACTGACGGCGATTCGCCGATGGAGCTACATACCCCGGGGAATCCAAGTAGCACCAAAGTTGTCAGCGTGAGTAAACAAAAGTACTGCATGCTAGAAATTAAGTCCGGGTTGCAATAAACGTGAGTTTCCTTTAAGCACATAAGCGTGAATGTACAGCTACGTGTCGGACTTGGTATGCTAATTAAGTTGGGCTGTGAAGCGCCTCCCAAATTCGCTGTTTATGTTTTTGTTTATTTATTTGGCAGACAAAACTTGGATCGGAGACAACTCGCGTGGGAAATTGCAATGTAGCCATGCGGCATCTTCTTCTTCTGTTTGTCTGGGAGGCGGAGGTTGCTTTACGGCATCTGGCTGTCGTGCGTGTCGGTGTACTTGAAGAAGGCTGTGTATAATAGTCCATAATATCGATACCACAGGGATGGAATATCTAATTTAGATACCACTTTTAGTATCGATTTATATCTAGGTATCGATTTTTTTGACAACACTAATCTGTATCTGTTCAACCAACTAAATTATCTGTATCTGTATCTGTACTCGGAATGGGCGTGGCATAACCCAGAAGTGGGCGTGGTTTAACTGGAAGTGGGTGCGGTTTACATCAATATATTATTTTAAGTCTGAAATTGATATGGATTGATCAGAAGTTGCTATGTGTATTGTTTATTTGAAAACTATTTACAGAGCAGCATCAGAATTGAGATTAAATATTTTTGATCACAATAGTAAAGGAACTATTACAGAACAAGTGTTTCAATAAAATCAGAACATTAATATTTAAGTGCATGGATTAATACATCTGAACTCATGCAAGAGGAACTAGGAAATATGAAATGCTAAAACCAGACACAACTTTATATATATATTTTAATTGTACGTAATTTGATTAAACTGATTTTTTTCTTAACGTTCTTGGCATTTTCCCACACAAAGTTAAACAAAACTATGTTGATTAAGATGTGTGTGAGAGAGAGAGAGAGAGAGAGAGAGAGAGAGAGAGAGAGAGAGAGAGAGAGAGAGAGAGAGAGAGAGAGAGAGAGAGAGAGAGAGAGAGAGAGAGAGAGAGAGAGAGAGAGAGAGAGAGAGAGAGAGAGAGAGAGAGAGAAAAAAAACAGAAAACCTGACCGGAGCGGAGGTAGTGACTGACGCAGCACGTCAGCTGTCTGGTCAAATGCACCATGTAAGTGACGAAAAAAATAACTTTAAATATTCAACCGAAAAAGAGGTGAGCTGAAGAAAACCTAGGGAAAACTGAAGAAACGTGAGCAACAGTGAAGCAATCTCAGCGCGATCCGTTACTGTCTGTGTGTGTGCGTGGATGAGCCGGTGTCGGTACAAGATCTGCTCGGGCGCAAAATCGGCTTGGGGTCCTTTGACTGCCGATGATGTCAAAGTACGGCAAACCCACTCGGACAAAATACACTACACAACTATACTGATGGAAAGAATTTAGCAGTTTCGTTGTTAAAATAATGTTTCTTAAGACGAAAGTTTGTGTTTATAATAGTATTTGTAAAATAAAACACTATATTTGATTCATGTTGAACTCCTCTTTGAGCACATCCCTTGAAGGATCATAGGTATTAGCAACACCTGTGAAATTGTATTTGCAGGAAAGAAGTGTGTCCCGTTTATTGAAGTATTTTGTGTTTAGAGTTTTTGACGTCTTGCCCATGCGTAGTTCAGCTACGCTCATAGCTGCTAGCCAAAACTCTGGAGTTAAAAGTTTTCTGGCTTTACTAAAATACCTGTCTGTACTTGTTTGATTGATGGTAGTTTTACTTTCTATTTGACTCCAAATGTAATCATTTGGCACGTTTCTAATTCATAATTTGTAATAATGTAATCAGCGATATTAGCATTAGCATTCCTATGGGTTTTTCCACGTATATTAGCATTGCGCTAACCACTCGCTGCCAAATTGCAGCCTTTGCGATTAGAAAATCTCCTTTTGTCACATCGCAATTTAATTGCACATGCAGTTAATCGTTCAGCCCTAATATACATGCAGCTCTATGCTAAAAGTGTATTTTCAAAGAGGTAATGATGGATTTCTTTGTAAAAGTTGTCCATCTTTCCAACAGAAAGATTTGCCTGGACCAACGTAATGTGATAACAACGTAACGTGATTATGTAATTCCGTAAGGTTCATGTTCAGCCAATCAACTACTTTGACGTCATCGGCAGTCGACGGACCCTGAGCCGATTTTGCACCCGAGCAGATCCTGTACAGACACCGGACGGACTGCACTCCCGGCCGGCTGCAGTTTTGTGTGTAAGGAGGGGCGGGCGCTCTATGTGACTGGCCAATCACAGAGCGTGAAGACAGTCAGTTACCCAATGAGGATTTTCCTTCAGCACGATTACAGATATTTACTAGTTTTACTCGTTTCATGCTCATATTCGTCAAAAATGCTTTATCCGTACCGGATACTAGTCTGAAACGAGTATCCGGCTCATCCCTACTTTAAAGGTTAGGAGCCATATCACGGGTACCTTTCCTGAAGATGACGTCTCCGATGCTTTTGCTGCCGTGGGAGTTGATCGAGTTCTCTTTCATGGCACTGAAGCTACTGGCTGCAGTGATCTTCTGCACCTGATCATCCATTAGGTCGAAGCCGAAGAAGGTGCATATCTGTCGGACTCCTGCGTCCAGATCCTGCAAATCAGAAAATGGGTTCACAAGAGGTCATTAGAGACCATGTAGAAAATTAAGAAATGACATCGAGATACAGGTCCTTCTCAAAAAATTAGCATATTATGTTAAAGTTCATTATTTTCTGTAATGTACTGATAAACATTAGACTTTCATACATATTAGATTCATTACACACAACTGAAGTAGTTCAAACCTTTTATTGTTTCTAATATTGATGATTTTGGCATACAGCTCATGAAAACCCATCCATCCATTTTCTGAACCTGACTTGTCCATGCAGGGTCGCGGGGGTGGGGTGGGGGTGGGGGGTGGGGGTGGTTGCTGGTGCCTATCTCCAGCGGTCAACGGGCAATCAGGCGGGGTACACCCTGGACAGAGAGCCAGTCCATCGCAGGGCAACACAGATACACACAGGACAAACAATCATGCACACACACACACACACACTCACACCTAAGGACAATTTAGACAGACCAATTAACCTAACAGTAATGTTTTTGGACTGTGGGAGGATGCTGGAGTACCCAGAGAGAACCAACGCATGCACAGGGAGAACATGCAAACTCCATGCAGAAAGATCCCAGGCCGGGAAGCGAACCCAGGACCTTCTTGCTACATGGCAACAGCTCTAACAACTGCGCCACTGCGCAGCCCTCATGAAAACCCAAAATTCCTATCTAAAAAAATTAGCATATCAATGAAAGGTTCTCTAAACGAGCTATTAACCTAATCATCTGAATCAACTAATTAACTCTAAACATCTACAAAAGATTCCTGAGACTTTTAAAAACTCCCAGCCTGGTTCATTACTCAAAACCGCAATCATGGGTAAGACTGCCAACCTGGCTGCTGTCCAGAAGGCCATCATTGACACCCTCAAGCAAGAGGGTAAGACACAAAAATAATTTACTGAAAAAAAATAGGCTGTTCCCAGAGTGCTTTATCAAGGCACCTCAGTGGGAAGTCTGTGGGAAGGACAAAGCGTGGCAGAAAATGCTGTACGAGAAGAGGTGACCGGACCCTGAGGAAGATTGTGGAGAAGGACTGATTCCAGACCTTGGGTGACCTGCGGAAGCAATGGACTGAGTCTGGAGTAGAAACATCCAGAGCCACCGTGTACAGGCGTGTACAGGAAATAGGCTACAGGTGCCGCATTCCCCAGGTCAAGCAACTTTTGAACCAGAAACAGTGGCAGAAGTGCCTGACCTGGGCTACAGAGAAGCAGCACTGGATGAGCTGTATGCCAAAATCATCAATATTAGAAACAATAAAAGGTTTGAACTACTTCAGTTGTGTGTAATGAATCTAATATATATGAAAGTCTAATGTTTATCAGAAGGACCTGTATTTAGTTCGGTTGTATGGAGTATAATCAGACTTGTTAACTCATTCACTGCCAATGACTGTTTGAGCATCTGAACGAGCCCCCGCGCTGAGAGAACAAACATCTCAGCCCTGAAGCCGATCTTCATCCGCATACGTCACACGTCACATGATCAGGAAGCAGACCATCCATGTGTTTGGAGATCGTTTCGGGCCGTTCCTGTAAAAAAAGTGAGGCGCGAACCGGAAAAGCGTCTGCCGATCAATATTCAACAACGGATTATGAAAGAACGGATAACACTCGAAACACATGGATTTTTCCTGATGTAAGAGGTGAGTCTCCGCTTTGTTTTGGTTGTTTTGGTGTCGACATAATCCTAACGCGCAACGTTCTGTGACTCTTAAAAAACAGTAAAAACGGTGAGAAACGCTGGCAGCGAAGGCCGTTAGCGATCAGGAAATGGCTGGCAGTGAATGAGTTAATGTATGGAATTAAGTCTGGATTATGTCTCTCATTATGTGAAATCAATTCTAGGCTCTCCAAGGTGTATCCATGTGTGTTTGTGAAACCAAGCTAAATGCCTGTTACCTTCTCTTATCATGTTTGTGTGTGTGTGTGTGTCCAGGCAGCCTTTTCGCCCCCTGAACCGTGATGTCGTAAATTAGTGATATGCCTTCACTCTGCTGATATGCCCTAATGATTCATGTTGAGGATATAACTTTTTTTGACCTTGAAAGGTGTTGGGAGTATAGAGTGTATGTTATATTTTGTCCTCTGTGGAGTTGGTCCAGATGCTATACGCATATACATAAGACATCTTGTCCGGCAACGAGGGGATGCCCATTTGACCCTGGGTAGAAGAAGAGGAAGATCATGTGACCAGACGTGGAGCCCCAGAAGCTGGGGGTGTTGCCATGGAGATGCAACCCCTGAAGAATGCAGAGGGGAGGAGGACAGAGTGAATAAAAGAGAGTTGCTGAGTCTGTGAAGGGGATTGCCTTTGATGCCTTTGCCTATGATAATCTGACCTAGTATCAGAGCTTATTCAGCTCAACTTTGCTTTAACTCGGTTTACTGGCAAAGAGTTGTTTCACTTTTTAACCCACTGTGTCGGGGTTTCGTTTGGATTATTATTCTTTTTTCATCTGTGTGAAATAAAACCTAGTTCCTCGGATTCGAGGAACGAAAAAAGGATTTACGGGTGGGGTCTCCTGCCGGTAACCGAGCGAAGGTGAAATGCTGGTTATAAATTCCATCCCAAGGTGTTACTGATATAAGTTGTTTCCTCCATCCAAGGCCACAGGTAAAGTCAGTTGTCTCCTCGGCAGGGGCAGATTTAGGACTGAAGAAGATTCGGGGCTTAACACACACGCGCGCGCACGCACACACACGTGACACGCACTAGTCAACATCATATATGTCTTGTACCACATCATTTTTAATCTGAAGCTACATATTAAGCATTTTCAGGGCAGAGTATTGTTCCTGTTAGTGTTTAGTATGAGATGATAGTAAATATTCCCGTTCTTTCTCCAACCAATTTACCTGATAAGCTAACTTTAGGTAAACCAGCAGCACAACAAATATTTTCAAATAAGACTCACAAACCTGAGTCAGCACCAGTCTCATCAAAGCTGGGGTTCTGTCGTTGTTCTTTTTTGTATAAAAAACGTCCTTATGTCCATCTTCACTCATGCGTTTCAGGCAGAGAGTGAAGAAGAAGCCGGCTGCTGAAGGGCTTCTTCTTCCGTGGTGGAGGCTCAGGCAGGCTGTATACAGACTACTGCCAGCTGCTCCCTCTCTGTTGGACTTTGGTACTGCATGTTACTTCCGCGATTTAGATCCGGGGCTTTCCATGAAACATCCGGGGCTTCAGCCTAAGTAGCCGGGCCCATAGGCGTCATTTTAACCGGGGACGCCGGGGACATGTCCCCGTCAAAATTTGTGATTGGCAGCTGTGTCCCCCCCCACTTTAACAAAAGCCTGCTGATGAGGATTTTTGTTTTACCAGCTCAGATCTTATACCAGGGGTCTGCAACCTGTTCCCATCAAAGAGCCATTATTACCCGTTTCCCACAGTAAAGAAAACACTGGGAGCCACAGCAGATGCAGCGTTGTGGGCGGGGCCTACCCTCAGACAGCAGAGAGCTGCTCACAACCAGGTGACAGCAGCCGGTACCGGTCGCTCGCATGGGCGTCGCACCCGTGGGGGATTCAACACCCACACTTTTCCTTCTGTTTTGCTCACCTCCACACCAGTCTGGTTTCTTTATGTCGCACTCACTCTGTTTGCCTCATCTCCTTCTTCACCTCCACTTCTGACAGCCGATGTCGGGTTTCCAGGAGAGCAGGAGAGGGAGGGACGGAAGAGCTCGACTGAATTCATAATTTTACATCTTGACATTAGCTGTACAAAGTCTGAGTTTGATAAAGTGAAGAACAACCATTTGCAGAGGTTTATAACAGGCGCGGCGCCAGGTTTTCATTTTTGGGTGGGCCACGGTAATTTTGGACGGGCCTTAATAAGCAGCGACTTAAGTGAAGCAGGCAGGTCACGCTAGAAAATTTTGTTTAAAAAGACGTCATAAATGTTTTCCCCCGTCATTTTTATTTATAAAATCTGAAGTAAAAACTCCCAGTTTAATTTTCATTCATTTGTCATTAATATGTAGTCTACGCCCGTGCGTTAAGTGGACCATCTTCCAGTAAAAGCAGAGCATCCAGCCCACCTCTCCAAATGCGTAAAATGTGCAGCAGCCACTAGTTAGGTGCGTCGCTCGCACCATCAGCTACGTCAGCCCAGACAAGAGCAGAGCAAATAGAGAAAGAATAGAGGATAATTGGGTCTGGATGTGGATGGAGATTACATTTTACAGCAGCCTGATCATCATTTAAATACGTAAACCATCACCTGGCTTCTAGTCCACGCTATCAGCATTATTTTAATTGGTGTGTGTGTGTGTGTGTGTGTGTGTGTTTGTGTGTGTGTGTGTGTGTGTGTGTGTGTGTTTTCCACTTCAAACACTGGTATAACCAACCAGACCAGCGTGTCCAGTAACATATTAATGTTACACTTCATGTAGGCTAGAAACATTCCACCTGCCGTGGCCCGACCGCTTCTGCTCCACATAAACTTTGTGCGTAATCAAATGTCTCTACAGGTGCTTTATGAGCTGAAGAGCTATTCTGCCTCAGACTGGATGCGTAATGCGTCTCCATATTAGAGATGGGAACAAGTGCTGTTCAGCCAAAGTTTCATAATTTCATAAAAAGAACATTTTTCCAAGTGACACATCCCTCAGAGAGGCCGGGTTTCCAGACCGCTTCAGTGGGAGGAAATCTTATCGCATGCACCGTGGTTCTGCGCTGCGCTGCGAACCCCTCAGATCTTCAGCCCACTGTCCACCGTGGGCGCTCCGAGCTGCGCTGAACACAGTGTCCAGTATAAAGCTCTGATGTTCTGATGGGAATCAAGTTACCTCTGCGATGTGCGTAATGATTAAAATGTCAGCTCATCCATGCGCATCAGTGTGCGTTGGGGTAATTCTTTCAAAACAACCAACATCCTTGAGTTCATCCGTCAATATGTGGCAAGGTCCAGAAACGAGGGCCCGGGCAGGATTCGATCCTCAGACTCCCGGGTGAGAGTCATACGCTCTAACCAGTCAGCCAAAGGGACAACCCCTTGGCCAAGTAGCCAGGGCGCATTATCTATAGCGACACTGTGACAGGACACTCACACTGCCACACCTGATTATGAAACTTTGGCTGAATAGTGCTTGTTCCTGTCTCCAATGTGGCGACGCATCCAGGAACCTGTCTGAGGAGAATCCCAGAATCTGACATCCTCCAGCTCAGGAAGCGCCTATGATTGCGCACAAGCGTGACGCGTCAACCCGGTCTCACAGTAAGACCGGGTTGGACCTGTTCAGGTTTACGCAGACAATCTTTACATTTAGAATTGGCATACAGATGTAAAATTAATGCAGTAAATATAAAGCTTTTTATTTAAATATCCATTCATTATTTTACAAACACAGAGAGCCGCATCAGATGGAAGGAAGAGCCGCATGCGGCTCCAGAGCCGCCGACCCCTGTGCTAGCCTACTTTATTGTCCCCAGCAATTTTTAAACCCCACTCAAGTGTATGGTTATTGTCCCGAGCAATTCTGAAAACAAACTGACGCCCTTGGCCGGGCCTAACGCTGCCCCTGCTCCTCGGCATAAAACAAACAGCTGTCAGGTCTTTACCTGAAGTGTACATAAGCTTCATGGACTGAGGGTGTGTGTAGGTGTGTTTGAGCCTCCTAATTTCTACATAAAGGCAACTTTGTCAGAATTAGAAACCCTAGGTATTTTGGTGATTGCTAATCAACTCTTTACAGAGTAAGGGTGTTTGTTGGTAATTAATACCACGCCCACTATACCGATTACAAGCCAAACCCTAAAATTTTAAAACATCTAAACTTAAGAGTGGGAGCTAGCCCGGTAAATTGACTTGTAACAAGTTCCAAGTGTCAAACCTAGAAAACGTGTTAAAAGTAAGAAACTTCTGTCCTGTGGAGAGGAATGGGCAGCTGATTTAGAGGGAAACTGAATCAGCCGAGGAGTCTGACCTGTTTCAAGTCTTCATACATGACCAGCAGAACATCTGGATCATCCATCCTCTTCTCCCAGGCCAAGGCATGATCAAAGTACGACCCCCATGCAACTACACACACACACACACACACACACACACACACACACACACACACACACACACACACGCACGCACACACACACACACACACACACACACACACACACACACACACAAACACACACACACACACACACACACACACACACACACACACACACACACACACACACACACACACACACACACACACACACAAACTCAGTAAAACATTCTACGGTGTGGGGTCAAACGGAGCTAAACCAGAGCAGCAGGCCATATCTGAACTCTAGTATGTTTATTACTAAACTGGTGCCATAGAGTGATCCACCATGGTAACCTTGTGGACTCGGCTGCTGCTTGTCAGTCATAAAGACTAAGAAAGCTTTAAAACATTAGCTGTTACAAAAAACAGCTGAAAACCTTCAGGAAAGATTTTCTCTTCAAACCTTAGCAACAAATAAAACACAAAAGCATCTGCAGGAAAACAAATTCCCTTTCAGTTTTAGCTTTATATGTTGGAAAAATAACAGCTACCGATCTCAAGAAAAAAGGCTGAAATAACATTTCACCTAGTAACAGAGATGTTTAAAATGACCCTCTGACCTCTCATTGAGACAGTAATACAGAGCTTAGGCTCCTCCCCTTCTGGATGGCTCAGAAGTCCCTGAACGAGGCTAAAAACGCTATTTTCTAATCCGCTCTGCCTTTCGCAATGAATCACACAGATGTTGTACTTCAATTTAAATGAAAAGTAATGATGGGTGTTTCGACCACGTCAGTCACGTACTTTCAGATTTATCAGCTTGTAAAGTTAATCGGTACGTCATCCCAGAATCTCCTCTCCCCCAGCATAGCTGCTACTTACCACATGACCAGATTCATGGCGGTTCTTTCCACCTGAATGAATGATTCGAAGCCCGCTAAACCTACAGCCATTGTCTCTCTGCTTTTCTCCGTGTCTGGTTCGATGACATCACTTTGGTGATGCCCATTTGTAGTCCTGGACTTTTTTTCACACAAAACCTAAAATAAATGTCCCCTCCATTCAGAAATAAGCACGTTTAGAGCATCTGAATGTTTTATGTCTTTAAAATCACAGACATTGCATGTGAAATCAGGACACAAAAACAGGATAAGTAAACGGCGTTTTAGCTTCGTTGACTTGCACTTATTTTTCGTTATTCCAGGGACCTGTGGTCTGGAAGTAGATGGGCGTGCCTTAGGCTCCCTATGTCTCTGATCAGGGCACCAAACAAACTAATCTATTATTTACTTTGAATAAAAACATTCAGTTATTATAACACAATTATTAAAATATCTATAAACCTGGCGTAAAATAAACACCCACTGCTTCACTGGTGTATTTTATAGCTGTATAACAAATATATTACATGCCTGTTGAAATATTGAATTTTATGGTATTTAATGTTTTGTCTGTTCATTTATGTTTGGTGGAAACACTGATTTTCTCACCATTTCCAGTCATGAAGTCCTTAAAGAAAGAGTCCCAGGACTTCACTGAAGGCAGAACCACGTTGTTGTTGCAGAAATGGTAGTAGGAGACCAGAGTGTCTTTTGGGTTCCTGAAGATCACCATGGTCTGTAAAAATCCCATAATAATAAAATCAATGTGAGCCTGCTTCTGTACAACACAAAAATATTTTTAAAAAGGCAAAAACTGGAATTAGGACAGAAAAACATCCATGAACCTTTGGTTTCTTCTCTTTGAAGGATGCAGGAATGCTGTCAGGATGAAGGTGAGTTCCCATCAACCTCGGAGACGGAGCTTGGTCCACCAGCTGAGAAGATCACATTATCATGATCATCAGGGTAACTTCTGGTTAGAAGAGTCAATGCCAGGTGTAGCCTACAGCCCTATGTAGTGACTCAACTCTACTGCTCTACCTGGTTACCACTAAGGAAAGGTGGTTTAGTGGAAACCAGTGATAGAAACAAGTCTGACCATTTCAAATTTGGATTATTATGATTTGATTCCAGTTAACCAGACAGGTAGTCGGAAACATAATAATAATAATAATAATAATAATAATAATAATAATAATAATAATAATAATAATAATACATTTTATTTAAAAGCGCCTTTCAGAACACCCAAGGTCACTTGACAGAAAACACGTAATAAAATACAATAAAACAATAATAAAACCCAAACAAGAAAAAACAAAGAGAGAAACAGTTCAATAAAATCAGAGGTTGTAGGCAGATTTAAACATATGTGTTTTGAGTTTTGCTTTGAAAAGGGTAAAACTGTCGATGTTCCTGATGTCAGGGGGAAGTGAGTTCCAGAGACGAGGAGCAGAGCGGCTGAAAGCTCTGCTCCCCATGGTAGCGAGACTGGCAGAAGAAACCGCAAGATGGATGGAAGAAGAAGATCTGAGAGAACGGGATGGGGTGTGAATACTTATAAGGTCTGAGATATATGGAGGAGAGAGGTTGTGGATTGCTTTGAAGGTATGGAGGAGAATTTTGAAGATGGACCTGAATTTAACTGGGAGCCAGTGAAGCTGCTGGAGAACCGGGGTGATGTGGTGAAAGGAAGGGGTTCTGGTGATAATACGGGCTGCTGAATTCTGGACCAGTTGCAGTTTATGAAGGAGTTTGTTGGGGAGACCATAAAGAAGTGAATTGCAATAGTCGATACGGGAGGTGATGAGGCTGTGGACGAGAATGGCGGCAGTGTGAGGGGTCAGTGAGGGGCGGAGACGGTTTATGGAACGTAGATGGAAGTATGCTGACCGAATTATGTTATTAATGTGTGCTTGAAAAGAAAGTGAGCTGTCGAGGATGACACCCAGACTCTTGACCTGAGGGGAGGGGGAGACTATGGCGCTGTCAATAGTTAAAGAAAAGCTGTCAGATTTCGAGAGGGTGGTTTTAGTGCCAACTAGAAGTTCAGTTTTATTGCTATTGAGTTTGAGGAAATTAGAGGTGAACCATGATTTGATTTCAGAGAGGCAGAGTGTAAGGATTTATTGAACAGATTTATTCTGTTAATCCATCTTTTCACCTCCTCAGTATCAGCTTCAGCCAACCTGAACAGGAAGCACATCAGCTCGCTCTGCAGCAGGAACACTGATGACCAAACAAGTTAACGGGGTCACAGAGGTCAAGTCTTACATAAGGACAGACCCAGAGCCAGTGTGGAAACACTCGTGTTTTCCTGTTTTACTGCTTTAAATAAAGGAAGTCTGTACCTGTAAGAGATCTGGTCCTAGAAACTCGATCAGTGGGGGAGCCTTGCCTTCAAGCTTCCTTCCTGTGCCTTCTTCAATGATTCTCCTCAGAACACCAACCATCCAGTTAAAACCTACACACACACACACACACACACACACACACACACACACACACACACACACACACACACGCGCGCACACACACACACACACACACACACACACACACACACACACACACACACACACACACTGAGTGAAGGCCTCTACATCAGACGCTGCTCGGCTCAACAGGTACGATGACTTTAATGTTACAATAACTGCAGGTGAAAAAATATTCTAGAGTCCTCCAGTGTTTCTATAAAAATAGATCACTAAGTATCCCGCTGTTTGGCCTGAGCGGTTACCTGGCATACCGGAAAATTAATGAGCTTTCAAGGAATATTGGCTTAATCCCGGAGCTCAGGGATAGAATGCATCGTGCTGTAAACTCACAGACTCATATAAATGCCGAGATGAGTCGTAAGCTTGGAACTTTGGCTGAGATTCAGGCTCTGGCACAGAAGGTTGATTCGATCAAGGAGAGAGTTGACGGATCAGCATGGATTGGGATAGTTTTATAACGTCATTATTGGGACCTGGAGGGGTTGAAGACCGACAGAACTCTAAGGCAGAGAAGAAATGATCTCTGCCTGTACCCAAAACAATTCTTGTTATCTGAATCTGGTGCCCTTGAAGCCCGTGAGGCTGAAGTGAAAACTCCCCCCTCAGAAGAAATGTGGAATGCTGCTGTTGCTATGGAAACTCTTTCTCCCTATACCAGCCTGGGCGGCACGGTGAAGGCCGTGGAACCGTATCTAGGATTCATTGTGCTCTCTAACCCATTATCTCCCTCCCCTGTTCAAATGGAGGTGATGAGCGCTGCTCTTGCAGCTGCATGCTCTGAAGTGAGGAGAGTCCCAACCCTACCTCCCCACCTAGTGGACACTTATGTTGTGTATCGTCTGAAGTCTGTGTGCATATTTGTCTGAGGTGTTTTTTTGCATAGCAAAGCTACCCTCTCTGTCGGGGGTAACTCTGAAGTGCCTTTTTTCCCCTCCCCCTGAGTCCCCGTCTCAAGTGTTCCAGTCTCAAGTGTCTCCAGAGTCCCCAGTGTTCCAGTCTCAAGTGTCTCCAGAGTCCCCGGTGTTCCAGTCTCAAGTGTCTCCAGAGTCCCTGTCTCCAGAGACCCTTCCTCGTCCTCTGAAGTCCCTTCCTCCTCCTCCTCCTCCTCCTCCTCCTCCTCCAAAGCCCCCGATCCCCAGAGTTTCCTGTTCCCGGCTCCTGGCTCCCCGTCGCCGGCCCCCCAGAGTTTCCTGGTCCCGCCTCCTGGTTCCCCGTTGCCGGCCCCCCAGACTTCCCTGGTCCCGCCTCCTGGTTCCCCGTCGCCGGCCGCCCAGACTTCCCTGGTCGCGCCTCCTGGTTCCCTGTCGCCGGCCCCCGAGACTTCCCTGGTCCCGCCTCCTGGTTCCCCGCCGCCGGCCCCTCAGAGTCTCCTGTTCCCTCCTCCCCCGCCCTTGTGGGTTGTTTTTTGTTTTGGTCCCTCCTCTCCCACCCTGTGGTTTCTGTGACCTGTTTTTGTCTTGTCTTTTGCTTGTGGTGTGGTTTTGTCTGTCTTGTGAGCGTCTGGTATCCGCCCTTGGGGGGGGGGGGGGGGGGGGGGGGGGGACTGTCATGGTCTGCGTCTTTCCCCATGTGTCTCCTGATGTCCTCCATCCCTCTCTAGATTCCCCTTTTGTGTCTCATAGCGCCCTCTTGTGTCCTTTGTCTGTGTCTCATTTATATGTCTTCTGTTTGTAGCCCTTCAGGTCATCCCCAGCCCCTCCAGTTGTAGCTTCAGCCTTTTTGTCTCCAGCTCCCTCCTGGTTCTCTTCATGTTCTCTTGGTCTCCCACCATATTTCTATAGGTCTATTATTTCAGTTTTGTTTATGTCCTTCTCAGCTAGGTGTGTGTGTGTGTGTGCGTGTGTGTGTGTGTGTGTGTGTGTGTGTGTGTGTGTGTGTGTGTGTGTGTGTGTGTGTGTGTGTGTGCGCGTGCTGGAGAGGTTCGCAGCCGAGTGTGAAGCAGTTAGAATGAGAATCGGCTCCTCTAAATCCAAGACCTCTTGAATCGGAAAAGGGTAGAATACCTTCTCCAGATCAGGGGCGGGATCCTGCCTCAAGTGGAGGGTTCAAGTATCTCTGGGTCTTGTTCACGAGTGAGAGGAGAGATGGAGCGTGAGATCAATAGGTGGATTGGTGCTGCCTCTGCAGTGATGCAGATGCTGTACTGGTCTGTCGTGATGAAGAGAGAGCTGAGCCAGAAGGTAAAGCTCTCGACTTCTGATGCTTCGGTTTATGTTTGAAAGGTGGATTATAAACAACACACCAGTTTTTATTTTTGTTAATAGCCCAAATGAAACTGGAGTCATACTAAAATAATTAAACTGCATTTTTAGACCATCAGCTGACTTGGGAAAGCCTTGATTCTGTGATCTGAGAGGATATTTATTTATTTATTCTTTATTTAACCAGGAAGGTCCCATTGAGATTAAAAACCTCATTTTCAAGGGAGTCCTGGACAAGAGGCAGCAAAAGTTACAGCTATAAAATTTTTCAGTTACACAGACATGCTATGTAGAAATTACAGAAGGCAGTTACAACACAGGGTATCCATCTCAAGGGTTCTCAGTCTGGTTTTAAATGTATTCAAGGAGATAAACTTGGTTAATTTCCAGTTTCCTGCAGCCTGTTCCATGCAGAAGGAGCAGAGTGAATGAAAGCCCTTTTGCCCAGTTCGGTGAGAGCAAACGGAACACAAAGTAACGATTGCAGTGAGATTAAGTCGCAAATGTAGTTGGGAAGTAATCCAAGCATTGCCTTATAAATGAAAGTATACCAATGTCCCAACTTCCTGGTGGACAAAGAACGCCATGCCACTCGAGAATACAAATCCCAATGATGGGTCAGTGGTCTACAGTTAGTAATAAACCTCAGCGAGGCACAGTGTTGGGAGTAACGGCGTTTAAGTATAACGGCGTTACTAACGTCATTCTTTTTTAGGTAAAGGAATAATCTAATTAATTACTTTTACCACTGTTGCAACGCCGTTACCGTTACTGGGGAAGGAAGGTTGTGCGTTACTATGTGCTTGTCGAACGTTGAGCAACATTGTGAGGCTTTCTGATCGCCACACTTCAGCTGCAGCCAGGAAGATTGTCAGTAACACACTTACAAACATGATGATGATGGGCGGAGAACATTGTTCTCACTGTCTCAGTCATTGCATGCTGTAGACACAACAAAGCAGTGATGGGAACAACGCCATTTAAAATAACCGCGTTACTAAAAAAATTTTTTTTCAGTAACGAGCAATTGAATTAATTACTGTCTTCTTTTATCAAAAGGAAATGCGTGCGTTAAGCAGTGCGGTGTGTTGAAGCTGTCATCAGCTGATCAGGAGCTAAAGAGGCAGATGTTTTCATGCAAGTGCATCACGGCCCGTGAAGAACGAGGAAGATGTGATGAATAGTCTACGGCTGCAGGTGTGGATCTGTAGCCGTGCCCTTCTTAGCGTGACAGCGGGACGTCCCGAAGGTCTGCTCACCTGTTCACCGCTCAGACGTCCTGATCTTCTACCTTCCTAGATCATCCAGCTGTAACCTGTTCCTGATCATGTCTTTAGTCCCGCTGTAACACTGATGCATCAGTCTCAGACGTCATGGAGCTCAGGTGTTGTTAGAACTACCTGTGTGTGTTTACCACCCAGCTTCAGCTCTTCTGTGGTTGGGTCTGACCCAAGTTAGTAAATCCTCCATCAGGCTTGTGCCTCTTCTAGTGTCATTTTAAAGGATTTTTATGAATTAATTTAACCGTTACTAGATTAGCAGCAACAGAAATGCTACTAAAAACACACAATTATGTGAAGCTGGAAAAATTAGAATACTGTGCAAAATTACATTTATTTCTGTAATTTAACTAGACTGAGAGACCATTTAAAGGCGCGGGAACCTTTACAGGTGTTTCTATTTGCAATTTTAAATTTTAGCTGATTGGCGTCATGTTAAATATCACACAGTGGCCTTTTAATAGTCTAGATAAGTGTAATGCTCCTGTTAGTAGTTCCTCCTGTTAAGTGCTTATTTATTAAATTATTCAGGTTTATAAAAAACATTTGGACATACATTTTATTATGTTCCAGTCATTAGTCATTTATATTTCACTATTGTAGTAATTTATAGTAAATGAAGTAAGTTTAATTAAGAGGAGAACCCATTTTTCTTGCATTCTTTAATGAAAAAAGTAACTAAGTAGTTATTTTTCTTGGTAATTAGTTACTTTTATAATCTTGTAACTCAGTTGGTAACTGAGTAACTTTTTTGACAAAGTAATCAGTAACTATAACTAATTACTTTTTGTAAGTAATGTTCCCAACACTGGCAAGGCATGATTAACCACATCAATCTTACCAAGAGATGTGCTCACGAACATTAAAAATTAAACACAAAAAACATGAGATCTCTTTTCTGTTGGTGGAAATTTCAGATATTCACCTGATTATGATGGTTCAGTAGCGTATTGCTGCAGGGGGAAAGACGAAGCTGCGCTCCGTGACAGCAAGAGTGAAGAGATGTCACGGAGCTGCAGAATAAATAGTGGGACAGACATTGCAGCGATCTGTGACAGATTGTTACTTCTCTGTAGTTTAGTGGGTGTTTGCGTTAAAGGTGAAGGATGAATGACCAGCACGGCTCAGCTGTTTAGCTGAAAGACAGGAAAAGGAGGCCTGTAGCTGGAGTCCAAAGTGAGGGTTTTAAAAATGATCCTTCCTCTCTGAGGAAGATGAGCTGGATCACTAACTGATGCTAAAATGAGGTGTTCACAGCAGTGCTTTATTTTATCTTCAGCTTTCTTTTGGTTAGCGGTGTAGAGGGTAAATGTTGTTGCTTTTAAGCTTAATATATTACCTTTACTTATGACCAATAAGCTGTGATATTCTACATAAATAGAGAATATCAACCTGCTTGGTCTTTGGATGTTTAATCAGAAGATTCTAGGATTCTTTGCTTTTTCATGGATGAAACACACTTTGTCTCAATTCAGACAGAGTCAG